GACGTGGGTATGTTGCTCTCGGAATTTGATGCTATTTTGGCAACTTCAAGACAATGCAGGCTATTGATTTGTGGGAGACACCTTCGTAAGTTGGTCGGGGTCGGTTCACAGTTTTCGGCGTGACTATTCGAAGTATTGCCGACGAGATATTTGAAAAACAAATTCGTATATATATTCGGACTTGGTAAGATAACGGCAGATATAGGTCAACATCTACTCACTTTTACCATGCATTTTGGTGACAGCAATTGTTGCATATAACCCATAGCAATTACGGAAATAATGAGGGGCAAACGCCAGGTAGCACAGAGAGCGGGTGTTGTAGTAATCATCGTCGTCAACCAAAACGGGAACAATATCAACCAAAAAAGTGTTCAAGACATTGTATGTATTTACCGCATAACATTATAAGCTACTAACTTCTGGTGGTTTATTATTTGCAAATGCCCAAAACAAATAGGAAAAAGAGAAGCAGAGGAAGCACGGAAAGTGTAAATGAAAACCACGCAAAGAAAGAGTGCCAGGTCGAAAGCCCAAAGGAAAATATGAAGGCGACTAGTGAGATACTCCAGGAAGCAAACAGTGTCCTACACGATTCAAAAATCCACGATAACCCTCCAGTTTTTAGCGTATCCGAAACCCCTAACCAAGCGCTGTTTAAAAAAATGGACACTTTATTAAAAGCTGTAACAGATTTAAAGGACAACCAAGATCAGATGAGAAAATCATTTGACTTAAAACTAAACCACTTAGAAGAAGAAATGAAAGGAATGAAAATGCAATTTGCAGAAATCCTAACGGAAATAAACGTGCAAAAAGAAGAGCAAAATAGGATGAAAGCAGAGGTGATCAAAATAAACAACACACTTGATAAAGTCACCGACATAATAAGTGGCCAGCAACTATATTTAGAAAAACTTGACTCAAAGCAAAGAGAAAAGAATCTCATTGTGATCGGTATGTCGGAAAATGAGAATTATGGAGATGTAGTTGGGGATGCGGAAAAAGTTAAATATGTTTTAGAAGCGATCACCGCCACTCAACTTGCAAATAAACCTGTTTGCAAACGCTTGGGTCAGCCAAGGCAGGATGGCACACCCCGCCCGATTCTCGTAACGCTCGGCAGCGAATCCCTGAGGAGGGACATCCTCCAAAAATTGGCACAAAGGAACGGCGGGCAGGGAGAGCTTCAGATCCCGCATGTTAACGACACACTGAGGATAAAACGTGACCAACACCCAGCAATAAGAGCTGAGTGGGGACGCATGTTCAGGGCACTGGACACAGAAAAGCAAAAGCCAGAAAATATGGGCCATGAGATCTTTTTCGATAAAAAGAAAAGAGTAATTACCAAAGATGGTGAGGTAATCGACCGTTGGAGTGCAAATTTTGTATAAGCGAGCAGAACAGAAAGTTGACTATAGTTACATGGAATATAAATTCTGTAAAAAATAAACTAGAAAACAAAAAGGTGCAAGAACTTTTAAGTTTATATGATATAATTTGTTTAAATGAAATTAAGTCAAATGTTGAGTTCTCCTTACCAGGATACCATACTTATATGAGTAAAAATGAAAACGCAAACCGAGGAGGTTGCGGTGTTCTCATAAAAGATGGGTTAAACAGATCTATAATTGAACTTGTGTGTGGTAAAGACGACTATATTTATTTTAGACTTAAGGAACACCCACAAGTAATATTTGTGGCTATTTATGTTGCACCAAAGAGTTCACCATACTTTTCAATGGAGGTGTTAGCTGATTTGAGTGCACTCCTCATGAATAGACCTAACCATACTTTTATAATAGTGGGAGACACAAACTGTCGATTTTCTTATTTGAGAGAAAGATTTGTAGACTCCATAAAGGGAATGTTTCCTGATGCTCGGTATAGTGAATCGCCTGATAAATTAAGGATTCCTAACGAAAATGCACGACTTGTTACCAGGATTCTAAAACCGTTAGNGCCCAAGACATTGACCCACTTAATTCGCGGTACCTTCACTTGTATAAATCTAATGGCGGAGATGTGCGGATTCACCGTCAAACTGACGTCAAACTGTTTATTTTGCGAAACTTTTCAGGGTGCAAAAAACGCCGGTGCAATAATGGCAGTCAAGCATTTTTTTCTTTCTCATTATGCCAAGACCCATTCAGCAGAGACCAGATTGCCATTTTATTTTACCCTGTGTACATTTTCCTTCCAGAAGTTGAGATGAGGCGGAAACCTCTCCATTACGAACATATCTGGACCAAGATTTGTGTTCAGAAATATATGCTGTTGGTGCAGAGCGTTTGTCTTTTCGTCGAGGTGCTATTTATCATCGGAATATCACCAACATGGCCAACAGTGAATGTCAACCGCATCCTAGCTTGGAGTCCCAACAATACGCGAGGGACGTCTCCCACAAAATTGGTGTCTTTGTCTCTACTGCCAAGCGCTTCGTACGAAATCGTAAGACCACGAGATTACAGAAACATGGAAAGTAAACGATTTGTCTATATGGTGCAAGGGCCGAGTCAAATTGACATTAAAGGACTCGATGAAACAATTGACCGCGACGTCTTTTGGTTGACTTTTGGAAATAAATCTGGTGACATTTTTGCAGAAAGTTCAACAGCAGTTTCAGGAAGAAACGCCCTTTTACACTATGCTGTTAATTTGGCATCGCAGACTTTGAACGGTGGATACCTTTACTATATATTCATTGATGACGACATTGTTCTATCCTTGCGTAATGATGGAAACGTGAACTGGAAACCATGGGACCAAATGAAAAATAACACTTTTGAAAGATTTGAGGATTTTCTCCTGGACTTCAGACCGGCTGTAGGATACGTCCGGTTCCAGGATGACGGGAGGCAACCAACAAATCTTAGCAGGTCCACAGACCTCCATCACGATTTTGACGAGTGTTTTAACGCTTTCCATAAAGACACGTTATCATTTCTCCTTCCTTACGACACCCACTTTGACTACGACTCCTGGTACACGGGTGGCTGGATTGCCCGTCATCATATGGGGATGTTGTACCATTCCTACAGGATACAATGTAACTCTCTTTACATCGATAATACGAAGCATATGGGTCGGAATAATAGATACAAGGCCGGTTACGACTTTGCCAAGCCACGAGATTATATAAAAAGTTCGATTACGTCAAACGATTTGCAGAGATCAGTGCTGCAGGCAGACAGTGAGGGGAAAGGGCTTCAGCCTACAGGGCGCATGCCTGGTGAGCCAAAAGTTAAAAGGAATCACCCCTATTTGATCACCGATGAATTCATAGGTTCTAATTTTATAACAGATCATCCTATGATTCAAAAAATAATTTCCTGGAGAAAGACACCGGAAGTTGAAAAGATCCTGCGTTTGCACACAAGAAATAATGAGTCCAGTTTTGTACCTGATTCTTTATATACCGATTCACCGACTCGATTTTGGGTACCTTAAACCAAGTCGGGTGCAGAGAAAAAATAAAGGAAGACGACTTCGTACGTGGATAAGGTGCCTCTGACAAGTGAATGGGGCAAGTTCCGATTCCCCATCGCCCCTATTTATCCAAAATGCGTAAAACTGGTGCATTAATTTTGAGGGATTTTGCAGGACTTAGGCACTCGTTCTGATAGACTTTGGGATTCTGAGATATACATCATTTTATACATACATCATTTATAATAATAACAATTATTATAATTATTATTGTTTTGATGGCTATAGTTGTCCCACAGCTTGTACTGGTAATTTGACACGTTGTCTGCAGATGGGCAATTTTTCTCATGCGTTAGTGCTATAGGCGAGCCGGTGCGACTGCACCATTATCTCACCTAAAACAGTCGCAGGTGTGCATTCACTTACCTGTTCACGGCGTCCCCATCGTCCTGGGCAGCGTTAAGCCCGCTATGCTTGTACATGTAAGCAGTGAGTGCACCTGTAGACTGCTAAGTGCACAAACAGATTAACGTAGGCAGATATAACAATAAATACTATAACTGGCAACAGCAGCTTCCACTATAAACTGGAGTCCATATGACGCTACGCTCGTAGTTTACCTAGCCGCCAAGGGTCACGGTGGCAGAATCTGGTGTTAAGAGTGACCAGAAAAAAAAAACACATTAAAGGCAGCAGAAGCTCTTCCCAGATAATGTATATATATTCCTTTGTGATTTCTTGGAAATGAAGAAACACATTACCTGGGAATGATGTAATATATTTCGCTACCCGATAAATCACAAAGGAACTTATTACAATGTATGTTACCTGGAAATCGTTACTTATTGTAATAAATGTGCTTTTTTCCAGGTAATCTGCATGTTACTTTGTACCATGTTTTATTTTCCGAAAAAAGGAGATGTTGCTTCATTGTAGGGTCTCGTACGTACATCTCCATGTGTTTGAATTTGATATATATGTAAAACATACTTCAAATGAAATTTAATACTTAAAATTATGTATTTTCTCATTTTATCAGAAAAGGTTTTATTGTTTAGACTATTACTATTATAACCAGCATTAATCATTTTAATTGTTTTATTCACTTCAGCTTTTATTATTTATATAATCATTTGCAATTCTGATAACTTTATTTGTAAACAGCACTGAGACGGTAGTGTAGTGCGGTTTTTAAGAAATAAATATTATTATTATTATTATGTGATCATTCCATTATAGACAGATATGCCAAATGTCCGTGTCTATCTGTAAATTGTAATTAATAACCGAGCAATTGGAAAGATGAGACTTTGCCACAGCAAAATTAATATCATTGAACGAATTGCTTATCATGACGATTCCTTAATATAACGGCAGTAAACCTGATAAAAAAATAAAAGTCTACAGATCTCAATTTTATCAGAGATTTGAATGTTATATATCATGGTGATGAAGAGAAAATGCGGATTTTTTTTTTAGGAAAATTAATTTTGGCCAGGTTAAGGACTAAGACTCGTGTGCCTTTAATCTGAATATAAACGAATAAAGTTATACTGTTTACTGTATCAATTGCTTTATTCGAGATAACTGTCAGAAAAATTCAATGGTTAAAAATTAAAAGTAATTAAAATGTTTTTATTGTTGATAATTCTACGGAAAGGAATATAACAATTAAACTAACTACTAAAATGTGTTGAGAACAGTCCAGAATATAAGAATATAAATATAAATATTGCACAGCAAGATAAACCATTCTTCCTTTAAGATTTCAACATGTGCACAGAAATTGCTTTTGACAAAAAAGAAGAAAAAAATTATACCCAAAAGTGTGACGGTGAGTCAGTATATAATGAATCGGCTATAAAACTGGATTCGTTATTTCTTGTGCGCAATTGGAGAATCTTTTCGACTTCCGGTTTCTTTCTCCAAATAAGCAGCTTTTGAATCATAGGATGATCTTCTTTAAAATTAGAACTAAGATAGTCGTCGGTGATTAAGTAGGAATGATTTCCTTTAACTTTTGGCTCACCAGGCATGCGCCCTATTGGCTGAAGCCCTCTCCCTTTTTTATCTGCTTGTAGTATGGATTTCTGCAGAATATTTGACGTTGTGGCACTTTTAATATAATCCCGTGGCTTGGCATAGTCGTAACCGGCCTTGTATCTATTATTCCGGCCCCCATGCTTAGTATTATCGATGTAAAGAGAGTTACATTGCATCCTGTAAGAATGGTACAACATCCCCATATGATGACGGGCAATCCAGCCGCCCGTGTACCAGGAGTCGTAGTCAAAGTGGGTGTCGTAAGGGAGAAGAAATGATAACGTGTCTTTGTGGAAAGCGTTAAAACACTCGTCAAAATCGTGATGAAGGTCTGTAGATCTGCTAAGATTTGTTGGTTGCCTCCAATTATCTTGGAACCGGACGTATCCCACCGCCGGTCTCAAATCTAAGAGGAAATCCTCAAATCTTTCAAAAGTATTATTTTTCATTTGATCCCATGGTTTCCAACTTACGTTTCCATCGTTACGCAAGGATAGAACAATGTCGTCATCAATGAATATATAGTAAAGGTATCCACCGTTCAAAGTCTGCGAGGCCAAACTAACAGCATAGTGCAAAAGGGCATTTCGTCCTGAAACTGCTGTTGAACTTGCCGAAAAAATGTCACCAGATTTATTACCAAAGGTCAACCAAAAGACGTCGCGTTCAGTTGTTTCTTCGAGTCCTTTAATGCCAATTCGACTCGGACCTTGCACCATATAGACGAATCGTTTACTATTCATGTTTCTGTAATCCCGTGGTCTAACGATTTCGTACGAAGCGCTTGGCAGTAGAGACAAAGTTACCAATTCTGTTGGAGATGTGCCTTGCGTCTTGTTAGGAGTCCAAGTTAGGATGTGGTTGACGTCCACTGTCGGCCACTTAGGCGATATTCCTATCATAAATAGCACTCCGACGAAAAGAAAAACGCTCTGCACCAACAGCATGTACTTCTGCACACAAATCTTGGTCCAGCAATGTTCGTTAGAGACCGTCTTCGGCCACATTTCGTTTTCTAGAAAAGATAAATATACACAGGGTAAAAAAATTGACATTCTGAGCTATGCTACAAAGGTATTGTCGCACTGAGAAAGGAAAAAAGAGAAAAAAGTCCAGGACCTACGGATGCTTGAACGGGAAAATGTACCGAATATGGTAAACTCAACGGAATAAAAACTGATTTCACGTGTAGGATAAACAACTACTACATGTAAGTTACTAGTACTTCTACTACTACTACTACTACTACTACTACTATAGGAGAAGAACATATTGCTTCATCTTCATATCATCGCCGCATTTGTCTCATTTAACGTTCACTTACGGTTCTCAATCTATTCTAGAACATTTGGTGTATTTTTTTCACAGTTCAAATGTTGTTCTGTAATGAATGTAACATCCCAAGAACTGTTTTTGGGAAGTCCTTCAGAATTTCCTAGAACAGATTAAGAACATTTTTCATTAAAAGAGAAAAACATTATGTTCTAGGACAGATTGAGAACCGTAAGTGAGCGTTAAATGAGGCAAATTTTCACAGGGAGTGTACCTTTGGCATCGAGGTCAGTTAAGTACAAGTGTGAGATAATACACTGTCACCTGAGCGATATATACATGTACTAAGTATATACCGAGCAAAAGCACTTGAATTTCACCCAGAGGCACCCCTAAAACATAATATTTAAAGCTTATATATCCAAATGCAGCTACATATACCAAATGTAGCGGATGAGATCCTCCTCGTTGGACAATAATTAATAAACAAATTAATTAATAAATTAATAACCACGATAGCTCTTGCCAGGTTCAATGATTTTTCCTATTGATTTCGAGCGCCCCATGAATACTAGTATGTCATTGTAGCACCGATATTTAAACATTTTCTGAAAATGTTCTCAAGTGAAACTGAGCTTCCGTGTTACAGAGCTTACAGAGCTGTTAAAACATAGTTTATGGCATATTTCTTTGCATGGACACCGATGCCTTGTCAAGAAATGAAGAGGCGGGTATGGAGAACGTTGCGTTATTTTGAATAATAACAAAGGTACATTATCCTAACACTTGGTGCTCATTTGCATATTTTGATATATTACGGTACCGTAGTGTCTGTTCCATTGTACGGTTACCAAAATGATGTCCTTCAAGCAGTATAGCTACTTCTCTGTGCGTTTAGGGGCGTTTACCCACAGTATAAACCTTAAATATAGCACGTGCATGTGCTTACTTCTTTTCCCACAAGTTTAAGTTGTATTATACATAAATTAACTTGGTTATCTACTTTCCCTACCCCGTCTCTTTTTTTAGGTCTTTTTATCTAAACTTTGTAATTTAAATAAGATATAACATTGGAATATATAGGCCTTTCATTGTGTGGTTAAAAAGTTTGTTCTAAACATGTAAGCAATGACACACATGTTAATCTTCAAAAAGACGTTCTCCCGTTTATCTAGGATAAATACAAGTCAATTAATAGGGTCATCTAAGAAACGAGGTACATGCATGCCATCGACAAAATTTGCACATTTTAAACCTGTACACTCACTTACTATAATTCTGTAAGAACTGTAAAACCGTGCAGTCACTGTATCAGCCGGCTCCAGAAAGACGTTGATTCCTCTGCTGTCATATGTACTATGTCCAATACCACTGACGTACGTGACACCGCGTGGACAGGTGAAATGAAGGTGTGAATGGTTGTCACCTTCACCCGTAGGCAGTAAAGCGGTGACAATGTGCGGAAGAAAGGTATACCTTTGTGAAAACCCTACAATTACAATTAGGCCAAATGTTTCATCCCTGACGTGGATCACTTAGGGTTACCTTGCCTTCTACCAGGACCACAGCTTGATTTTTCACTAGATATTTACAGAAATGTCACTGGTGAATTCATGGCATCCTTCTCAGAGACAAATTTCATTAGCTGTGTTATGTTATAAGAATAAAATTGACTTTTTCTTCAATCAACAGCTAAATAATGGGGGTAAAACAATTTCAATAGTTAGCTGTTGATTGAAGAAAAAAATTAATTACTTTATTGTTCTGGCACTCTTCTGAACTGTTAGATAATAATTAATCATCAGACATGGTAGAGGGTAGGGTTTACTTTCCAAGTATTAAGAAAAAATGTGAACAAATGGCTTCATGCGCATATATGCAAGATGTGGTTTAACGAAACTGAGAGTCCGTGTAACGGAGAGTCCGCCCTCCATTTAGTTATAATTGTAAGGGTTAGCCTGACCTATGCGGGTCAAAATCTACCCTCTACAGATATTATAAGGGAATCTTGAAAAAGCCAGTGAATGGCAGAGAATGAAATGATTGTCTATTTATTTAAAGACATATCTGTGAAAATCTTGTGAAAAATCAATCTGTCGCCCTGGTGGAGGATAGTCAAAATCTAGGGTGAGGCTTACTTGTACAGTACAACTGAATGGGAAGCGGATTCTCTATCATGGGGGACCCTCAATTTCGTGACACCGGTGCAAAGAAAATCTCGCTAGACAGAAATGTGCAAAGGTCAGATAATTACCTCCGCCAAGGATGTTATGTTTTCACCCCTGTTTGTCTGTCTGTCTGTCATCAACATAACTCAGAAAGTTATGGACCGATTTTGATTAAACTTTCAGGAACTGTCAGTAGTGGGTCAAGGAACAGATAATTATTATTATTATTATTATTTTATTTATTTTATCTTATTATTATTATTATTATTTTTTTTTTTTTTTTTGTGATCCGGATCAATAATCAATCAAAAATCAATAATAATAAAAAAATTGCCGCCTTGGCGGAGGTCTGCGCTCTCGGAGTGCTTTTCTAGTTGGTTGTGAGTTTCTAGTGAAAACCATTCTCTCTCCAACCCTGATAGAGAGCGCTACTGATGATTGCGATTGTATTATTTTTTATTATTGTCTTTTTTTTTTTGGCTTGGTTAATGATCGTCTGCCACTTACAACGGAAGAGGTATATAAAACTTTATTTAGATTTGTATTAAATGAGTCAGTGTACAGGTGACTTTGAAGATATTTTCTTTGTTGTTCCAAGTTTTTGTGAAAATGGAAAAATAGCGGAAATTTTGAAGTAGTTTAGAAAGATTGTTTTACATCTTATTTATTAGTTTTAATTGTTTGAAATTTGTTTTATATGTAATTTTATATGAAATGTGTTCAGTAATCTTAATAAAATTGCAACATGAAAAAAATTGATGAAATATAAGATTTTTCAGCTTTGTTTACATTTATAACAGGAAAAGGTTTTGTTTTGTTTCACATTTGTATTTAGGGATTTAGTGTACAGGTAAATTACATAATTTTTTATTGTTCCCAGTTGTTGTGAAGGATCAAAACACGAAGGAAAAATCGAAAAAGTTAGGAGGGATGTACTTAAAAGTAGATTATAGTTAAACATCTACTCATAAGCTTATGAAGCTTCAGAATTTCTAGCTTTAGTTTATTAATATTTAATAATATTATGATAAATTTAATAAACATATTTTACTCAGTTTACCCTTACAATACAAAGTCTGAAACTAATTTGTAAGTATGAAGGTTTTTTCTTTTCCAAACCAGACTAAACTACACTGAACGGATATTTCTATTTCACAATATGCACCTCCTAGTATATATTGTACTCGCATCGCGATCATAGAATGAATTTTTCGGATCTAATATTTAATTCTTTATGTCTAGAATTGATTCATATTAAATCATGTTAAATAGGCGTTAGAGATAAACTGACGATCATAATCAGACAAGGCTATGGAGAACCCGCGCGCACTGTCAAAACGCATTAGGATATCCAGCACAACTAAAAATGGCTTTATCCAGTGACATCCAAAGTCATCGTCTCTGGGATCGCTGTCACAGTGTAAGGGTTTTTTTTAAAATAATATGACTGTTTTTTGGGTGTATTAAATAGCAACAAATAATACGTGTACATATAGATCGTTCCAATCTCCCTTATCACAACCGTGGTGCCCCTCAACTCTGAGAACGCACAGCTGGTGTTTCGTTTTTGAAGACTGTCAGAAAAAACTATTTTTTATTATTTAATATGAAAAATTAAATAATAATTATAAATGTATGATGTTAGAAGAAACTATATATTTTATATAATAATAATAATAATAATAATAATAATAATAATAATTATTATTATTATTATTATTATTATTATTATTATTAATGATGTATGTATATATAAATATTTAAGGAACTGAAAAACTGTTAGAAAAAGTAACTGTAGAATCTCTCAAAATGCAACAGTTTTTAAACTATATTTCGCAGCGATGGGTGTGTGTGACGCAGAATCAAGTTTCGCCTCAACCCACCCTTGTAAAAGTTACCTTTCCAAGTTTTTTTAATGCCACTCACGACGGCGTATATGCGAATGTCGGTGTTTATTTGTTTTTCTGCTCTTCTGCTTGGACTTAGGTACCCAAAATCGAGTTGGTGAATCGGTATATAAAGAATCAGGTATAAACCTGGACTCATTTCTTGTGCGCAAGTGAAGAATCCTTTCAACTTCCGGTGTCTTTCTCCATGACATTATTTTTTGAATCATAGGATGATATTTTATAAAATTAGAACTGATGAACTCGTCGGTAATCAAATAGGAGTGATCCCCTTTAACTTTAGGCTCACCGGGCATGCGCCCTATTGGCTGCAGGCCTTTCCCTTCGCTATCTGCCTGCAATACCGATTTCTGAAGCATGGTTGATGTAGGCTTAATTGCACTTTTTATGTAATCCCGTGCTTTTGCATAGTCGTAACCGGCCTTGTATCGATCGCTGCGACCCCCGTGAATGGTATTATCGATGTAAAGAGAGTTACATTGCATCCTGTAAGAATGGTACAACATCCCCATATGATGACGGGCAATCCAGCCGCCCGTGTACCAGGAGTCGTAGTCAAAGTGGGTGTCGTAAGGAAGGAGAAAAGATAACGTGTCTTTGTGGAAAGCGTTAAAACACTCGTCAAAATCGTGATGAAGGTCTGTAGACCTGCTGGCATCTGTTGGTTGCCTCCAATTATCTTGGAACCGGACGTATCCTACAGCCGGTCTAAAATCTAAGAGGAAATCCTCAAATCTTTCGAAAGTGTTATTTTTCATTTGTTTCCATGGTTTCCAGTTAACGTTTCCATCGTTACGCAAAGACAACACAATGTCATCATCCATGAAGATATAGTAAAGGTATCCACCGTTCAAAGTGTGCGAGGCCATATTCACGACGTAATGTAAAAGAGCATTCCGTGCTCCATTGTGCGTTGCTCTTGGTGAGAAAATGTCACCAGATTTGTCTTTAAAAGTAACCCAAAAGACGTCGCGATCGATTGTCTCCTGAAGCCCTTCTATATCAATTCGTCGCGGTCCTAGCACCATGTAAGCGAATCGTTTACTTTCTAAGTTCGTGTAATTCCGTGGTTTTACGATTTTGTACGTAGCGCTTGCCAGCAGTGAGAAAGTCGACCATTTTGAAGGAATCGTCCCTTCTGTCTGGTCACAAGTCTGAATTGATATGCGGCTGACGCTCATAGGCGTTCTCCCTAATATCATCAACAATCCCATGAAAAAGATTGAGCCCTGAACCACCAACATGTACTTTATAACGCAAATGCTGGTCCAACACTGAGGGCCATGGACAGCTCTTGGCCACATCCCGATATCTGGAAAAGAAAAACATACACGTGCCATTCTGCCTCTACTGAATAAGTCTGGGAAAATTGAAAAAGGGTAAAAAGGAGAAAAAAAGAAAAAATACAAGAGTCAAAGGCTAGGTTACATTGCCATGTGATGTTCGAACTTTGACCGAATAATAATAATAATAATTTTTATTAGTTCTAGCACATTTTTGACCAACAAGTCTTTATGTATCGTACATTTAATTATATAGGTAAACATTTAGCGTGTATGCTTCAATATGAATTAGAGGACATAAATAAATTGAAATAAATTGGTTTGGAAATTTATAAATGTTTTGTCTTTCTTTATTTAACCTTCAAGTTCTTTGACCAATGAGATAACAGCAAATTTTCATCCTAGCTATGGCATCAGCTCTTATCATATTAGGATGGCGTAAAGTTCCATGTAAAAATAACCGTTAAATCAGTAATTCATTTGAATAGACATTGTCCCTCTTTGCTTGTTGACGGTTCTTGTTTACTGATGAAACAACAGTTAGAATACAACGGCCATGCGATGTCCGTTCGGTGCTTTTATAGTGCCAGTAAATCCCTTTTCGTGCGGCGAATGGGCGGGGGCAGGTAGTGACCGTGAAAAATCATACGAAATTGTACGGATAGATGGCTTCCGTAGCCCCTACTGGTAACATTTTTGTCAAGAAAACATTTGACAATTTGAAAAAATCGCAAGCCCGTAGGCCGTAGCATCATTGTAAATGGTACAGTTCCCGTTAGGGTATTGTTTGGTGAACTTGCCGTGATCGTGATAAATGTTCAACTTCTTTCCTTCTATCTTTGGTGGTTTTTAAAGACATGACAATAGTAAATATGTTTAAAACTTTAAGTTATTCATATGCAAGTTTCTGAAGCTGTGCGTTTCCTTACCCTGACTGCAGGGGTACTTGAAATCGTAGGGGTATACCGACAACGTAGCAGTCTTCACGATAGCGTACGGCAACTGTACTGAGACTGAAAGGGCTCCGTATGATCACTTTTCAACCAATAACCGAATTATCCCCACGTGACTTCATGATCAAGTTGGAGACTGAAAGGGCTCCGTATGATCACTTTTCAACCAATAACCGAATTATCCCCACGTGACTTCATGATCAAGTTGGAGACTGAAAGGGCTCCGTACGATTACTTTTCAACCAACAACTGAATGCCCCCACGTGACCTCAAGGTCACGGCAACCACACGTAATGTCAAGGTACTCAACGTACCCCATAGCTTACTTAAGATGTCAAAATTATCGCACGGAACATTGTATACGATTTCATAGTGTGGCGCCCATGGCAATAAAACGTAGGCCTAATCTTGGCTTAAATGAGGAAAGGGCAGTGTGATACCTACACCGGAGTTCCACCCCAGAACAGTAGACTTTTCACAACAACGTTATGGATTTTTTAAAATTCCTAATTTGTCCCCTTATCTTATACAGTGACCAAGGCGCATTTGACAAAACTGCATTGGTGCTGGGGCACTTGCGGTTGACCGCAAATGTCTGCGATGGGCAGTAAATTACTAATGAGTGCGAGTTGGTCAGGACGCGAGTATAAATATGTGATTCCGACATGAAATATAGAAATGTCATGCTTATCTGTATTTGTTGTTGTTTTTTTATTCAAAGTTTTCGACCAGAAATGGCATATATCATAATGTTTGATTTCAAAACGCGCTTAGTATTTTGCTTTTCGCATTTTCAGTGCGTATATGTAGGGGACAGAATATAAAGTAACTTGAGCGAAAATTACAAAAATTAACGTACCGAGCTGTCTTTCAAGTGCACATTTAAAAATTAGTGGTATTAAACATTCACAGAAGTAATCACCAAAGTTTCTTTACCGAAACCGTGGTAACCAAAGTTTTACTTGAAAGAATGATGTAGGCCTACGTACTTCGTACATCGTTAACGTCAATATTTATCTATTATTATCACGTGAAATGTAACGTGCACATGATACTGTTGATTTATTGTGTATTTATCAGATAGAAAAACACAGAACATTTAGTTTTGTTATGACGAAAAGCAAAGCAAATGAGATTTGATGCATCTGTGCAAAATGAACCCTTTTCTAGCAGAGCTAGGTTTCGATCCTAGGACCTCGGGGTTATGGGCCCCGCACGCTTCCACTGCGCCACTCTGCTCCAGTCGTGTTCTGACGTAGGTAATTTTTATCATTTTTAATTTTATTTATCAGGTTCTTTTTTAATTAGGCCTATATCTTATGTTTCAACCTTTTCAATTTAAATTAATTTAATTTATATCTAAACTTACATTACATGCATTTTAGTCATTTATTTATTTATTGATTAAAAAATAATGTGCACCCAAAAATTAAACATTTTGTAAGACATATATATTAAAAGTTATCTAGCTTGATCCTGGTTGTTGGTTGAACAAGTTCTTAATGGGCCCTCTTTTTTATATTTGCGCACGGGAAGTCATTTCTTGACGCAAGACTCTTTAACCAAAGGAGATTTGAAAGATAACTAAGCACGTTTTACGCCATTTTGACGTCTGCTCTCGCCGCATACATACTTACTGACCACTAATAGTGATGCAGAAGCACTTGTGTACCAATATCCACCAGTTCAGAGCGTTTAAAGTCCCAGGGATATGGTTGTGTATTGTCACTACATATGTAGAGATATCGAGAAGGGGAATTCATTTCCATAATTTAAATTAATACAACTTGTTGACTGTAGTAATTTACTAGTCTGTGGATTTGTTAAGTGCTTGAAAATTCTGGACATTATCAATTATGATATAAAATTAGACAATGGACTGTTTGCTTTATACGCTGTTTCTTGAGATTTTAATTGTATATTTGCAGAATACCAGTCCTATCAAACACTTAAATTCCAAGTCTCTTGATTTGCAGTGGAGCTTATGGAATTTATCTTATGGAAAGTGGTCACTGGCACCAGAATATGAACATAAACTTCATGAATGTTATCCAGTAAAGATGAACGATGGCTTGTTTTAAGAGGAATGGCTTTAAATGTCTCAACATCTCATTCCTATTGATGCTTTACACCACGGCATGTTTTTATTGGGCATTGTTATTTTTTCACCACACAAATCAACGTCATTGGGGTCGGGTGGCCGGATGTGACGTCACGATTGACTTTCTCTCGGGTTTTAATGCATCATCCTTTGTCGTTGCCCCTAGATACCCGTTAAGTGTCGGTTATGAAGTCGTGAATCCTCGGAACTTGACCACCGCCAAAAGCAAACTATTTGCGTACATGGTTCAGGGTCCCAAGCGAAAGGAAATAAAATGGCTAAAAGAGTCAGCAGATCGTGACGTCTTTTGGCTGACATTTTATGACAAATCTGGTGACATTTTTTCGCCTTATTCAACAGCGGTTTCGGGAAGGAACGCTCTATTACATTATGTTGTCCATTTGGTGTCAAACACTTCAAACGGCGGATATCTCTACTACGTATTCATTGATGATGACGTTGTGCTTTCTTTACGCAATGAAAATGCAGTCAACTGGAAACCATGGGATCAAATGAAAACTGATCCGCTGGAAAGATTTGAAGATTTCCTCTTATACTACAAGCCGGCCGTTGGGTACGTTCGGTACTACGGAGGAAGGCAGCCAACAAACCTCCGGCAACCTGTAGATCTGCACCACGATTTTGACGAGTGTTTTAACGCTTTCCACAAAGACACGTTATCATTTCTTCTTCCTTACGACACCCACTTTGACTACGACTCCTGGTACACGGGCGGCTGGATTGCCCGTCATCATATGGGGATGTTGTACCATTCCTACAGGATACAATGTAACTCTCTTTACATCGATAATACTAAGCACGGGGGTAGAAACAGCCGCTATAAACCAAGCTTTAATTACGTCATGCCACGCGACTATATAAAAAGTGCTCTCCTTCAAAAGACACTTCAGGAACCAAACAAGCCTAATCCGCTATTGCTAGCCGTCCTGAAAGACAATGGAGGCAGTGGACTGCAGCCCATGGGACGAAAGCCCGGGAAACCGAAAGTGAAAGGGAATCAGTCGTACCTGGTAACGGAAGAGTTCCTGCGAAATCATTTCCACCCTGAGCACCCTATGGTTCGGAAGATAAGGGCGTGGAGAGACATGGAATGTGTGAAAAAGGTAATACAATTCAATTACCGCTAATGCAGTTTTTGTTGGTTCACTAGTACATAACTGAGTAGTGCTTTATTGTGTAAATCAATTTATTGATTAATTTACTCATTGTGGCATGTTTTAAACGCTCAACTTACGGATTGAGATTAAAGATTAAGTTGGCATTGGGCATGGAAAGTGTCACATTAGAAACGATTTGTACATGGAGCACTTTTACATTCAAAGTCCTATTTGCGTTGCTTCGCGCCAATGACTTGACCTATTAATAAGAAAACATCAGAAAATACACCACTTTGTGAATAGATTAAAATGAAAGTGATCCATTCATCATTTTGAATCAAAATAAAAAATATCTTTTTTCTGTTTTGAATTTTCCTTTTCAGATATTGAACCTAGGTCAAGCTAATAAACGAGAGGTTCCTTTCATTCCTGATTCCCTGTTTACCGACTCACCGTCACACTTCTGGGTGCAGGACGAACACCAGTGAAAACACTTTCTGAAAACTGCATCACGTGGTGTGTAGGCTGCCCCTACAGAGGAATATTTCTTCTGAATCGTGCAGACGACGTCAAGAAAAGCAGTTCAGTTGAGTAGAAGCTGCATAAAAAAGGATGGATGGCGATTCACAAATCACAAGTCGAAGATATGCCATGGGTCTTGGCAAAAAAAATTACTATGAAGTTTAAGTGATTAGATTGGGTTTCACACAAAATACAGTGTTTAATTTTGTCTACCTTTATACGGGAAAACGTTCGATTTTAGATTTGTATTAAGGGATTACACACAATACAGGTAAATTTGAGATTTTTTTTCTTTATTGTTCCCTTTTGTCGTAATTATAAAAAATGAAGGAAAAAATTGAAACAGAAACTAGCGTGAAATTTGTTGATGTAATTTATTAACGTATTCAGTAATCTCTGGCTTTCATGAAATAACAGCATAAAACTGTGAAAAACGTGTTTTACTGAGTTTACTGTTATAATACAACGTGTGAAACTCATTTTAAGGTAAGTAAGTTAAAAATGTTAAAACAGTTTAAATTCTTATCTCACGTTTTCCTATATTGCGCAAAGAATTTTTTATAAACCAAACTAAAACTTCACTTTACGGATGTTTCTTCGCGATCTGCATGTCTCAGTATATATTGTATTCGCATCGCGATCATAGAATAAATTGTTCGGCTCGTGTTTTCACTGTTTTATGTCTAGATTTGACCAAGTTTACCAAGTATGTATGTACCATTTGTAATATTTTGATCTATATTTTGATCTATTTTTCATCTATATGTCATTATGTCTATATGTCTTTCGTTCAATCATTCATGAATTATTTTATTTTTAAAATCGCTATTATTTTTAATGGTCACTCGAATGAGCTGTGATTGAGAGAGTAACAAAAAATAGTAAGTTAGGTGCTGTGACGTCAATCACCAAAACTGAATAAACCTATTACATCACCTTTTTTAAAGTAATTCACGTACTTCTGTATCAGAAAATAATATTATATGACAAGTGCAGAGAATGAATACGTACACAGCCACCATATATAAAGAGAAACACTCATACTTCTTGGTTTTATTCAGGAGAAAGGGGGAGGCTGTAACCAAGATTGCACTGGAAGACTATTAGAACTGATAATGTCTTACATGTCCACAGAGGATTGTGTTAGGTGTTCTAAAATTAGGGCTTATAGCGCAATCGTGTTGCGCTTCAGCTCACCGACCAGAGATGGGTGTGCAACTGCCCTCCACGTTGTACCAGTGACAGAGGGACCTTTTACTCACTACATGTTTGCAGTTTTTTCTTTGCCTGTTTACCAGCTGAGCGGAGCGCGTTTTTAATGAGGATTTTGGCACATCATTTGCATTAGTATCCTTTGCCGTTGCTCCGGGATACCAATTAGGCTTAAGACTGGGTACCCATCCCTAGATCGATCTAACTGGATCGGTAAGGGGTTTCTCGCTAAATTGCTTTCAGCTTAAGTGGCTTAGATGTCTGGGACGCCTACTAAAGCTGCTAAACGATAATTAATTACCCCCTATCAGCTTCAGTTGGCATGACAGACATCTAAGCCGCTTAAGGTAATTGCAATTCAGCATGAATCCCCTTGGAGATAGTTCATTCCAAAGTTAGTAAGATAGGGTCTGGGAATGGTCAATAAGGGCGCATTCCCATAGATTTTAGATCGATCTATCCCCGTGGGGAATCTCAGTAGATTACTGTCAGATAATCCGTCTTAAATGTCCATCCCGCCTACTACAAGCTGTAAGGGGGTAATTAACTTTCGTGCCCGCTCGGCTGACAACTATTTAGCGTGAACCCCCCAGGGAGTTAGGTCGATCTAGTTGGATCGATCTAATCTCTGGGAATGAGGTCTAAGTGTCGGCTATGAAGTAGTGATTCCCCTGCACCTCTTACCCATGGTAGAGAGTAAATAGTCCTGTGTTCCGTTTCACTAAAATGTCCTTCGTTTTTGCGCTTTACTTAGACTGCTTAAATAAAATTTGGGCAACAGCTCACGTATGCAGGTCAACTGTGTGTACGAGTACATTATCTGGTTATTCTTTTAGATGTGGAGATTGCTGAATTTTCCTTACTGGTAACGCGCAAGGTAACAAATATTAAAATTTGCGTATCAAAAAAATGATTATCGATCGTAACAATTTTAGTAGTTTAGTAGTTTGGGGCAGAAAATACCGTATGATGATTAGAAAATATTTGAAATCGTAACAATTTTCTTAGTTTGAGAAATTTCCTGAATTTTTTTAACACAAAGGTCTTACCATATATATGAAAAATGCCAAACACAAGGCGAAAATCTTTCATACAGTTAGCTTTTTTTGACTTGTTTGATAATTTTCATACATGATCCAACTACCAATCCAATGAACATTTTTGCTCACAAAGGTTTTATGACCAATATATGCCTTTACTTATTATAATGAACGTTTAAAACAGTAAGGGAGTCAACTACATTGTACTGTACGCTAGTCGGTGTCTTTATTCAAGCTATGCGAGTACACTTGCTACATACTGTAAGTACCCATACGTGAACCGGAGGTGATTTTAGTTTTCATGCAGCATGGCAAGTAAAATTAATATTTATCTCTCTCTCTCTCTCTCTCTCTCTCACACACACACACACACACACACACACACATGCACGCACACACACACACACACACACACACACACACAAGCACCCAGACATATGTACTTGTACTATTGGAACTATTCATACACCTGGCTTCAATGACTTGTGTCAAGTCAGTCACAGAATACCATAAGCACTAAAATATAAATTCTGTCATTCCATGCTCACTTCATATGCCAACGTGGCATCTACATGCAGAACACAGTGGTGACTGTCTACTGGCTACCTACATATACATTTTACTATGCCCCATACAAGAAGGGGATGGGGTGAAATCAGAGCTAACTGAGGAAACCATTAGTTGTATTGCTATTTGCATAAAATAAACTCATTAATATTACTTACAGTCAAAACATTTCTATATTTAACTACTGATACAGCTGCTGTATTAATCAAAGTGATATTAAATATGCAATTAAGTTAAAAACATGCAGCTTAATTGGAATAAGTGTCTCATTGCACCCTCTATAATCTTTCAAGTATTTAAGCCGGTACTTTCTTCATTTTGACTATTATATATCGGCTCATTTCTGCTATACACTGGGCTTATAATGCCCTATCAAAGCTATGATACATTTTGACACGATTTTGATTCACATTGTGTACCATTAAAAATTGGTGGGATACACTAGAATATATACATTTTTTCTTTAGTTAGAAATGCAGCTGTGTAAATGCAAAAAAGGTGTGGTGACCCTTAGTCAGCCTCAAAAACAGAACATAAAAACTGCTGCAGCATACACTATGAAAACATGTCTGTTGTTTAACAGAAATTCACAGACAAAACATTTCATAAAATATTCCCTTTACATTGTTGGTATTACTAATCGTTGCTTTTGTTCAATGTACAACAACAGTTACAACAGAACAAAGTAAAACCGAATTTTCTATCAACCAGTATTTGGTAGATCTTTCACTTCCAGGAGAAATGTTTCTAAATAATAAATAAAAAAAACACTTTTACGTCATATTAAATCTAAGACAAAACTTAAACATCAGATCTTTGATAGTAATAAATCACTTAATTGTACAATGTTTCTACTAATTGTACAATTGTACAATAAACTTACAGCATTATGCATGCAATAGCAAACAGTCAACTTAATCAGATCTGCACAAACACTGCGACAAGAACTAGATTTACCAAAACTCATAAACGATGTTGGTGACCACTAATACAAACAGCATGACAACCATGTGTAGTATGCTTAACTATATATACATGTGCAGCTTTGTCAATCAAATACTCAATCATGATTCAACAAATGAAGAATACACACAGACTGGGTCCAACATGCCTTTTGATAATGTAAGCTGTCATCTTCACCGTCATCTGTGGTGGCAAGCTGCATATCTCGTGTTCAAGATAACATTTAAAAGAACCCAACCTTTCTGCTAACTCATGATGATATATATATATATAACTACTAATGCCATAGTTTAACAGATGCAGATTCTTGGTGTGTGTGTGTGGTGGTGGTGGTGGGGGGCACAATCAGTAAAAGCCCCAGTTTGGATCCCCACACAAAAAATATACCCTTTTAGAAGGATAAACCCTTTCCTATATCAATGATGCTCCAAAAAAACAGTAAAATCTCTGAAATGAAATCCCCCTAAATATATGACTGATTGTCTCACATAGGAACATTTACATATATGTATCATATAATTCTTCCCAATACATTACTATACATCTGTCCCACAGATACCTGATACTCTTACTTATAATGTATTCTGAGATCACAGCATGAAACAAAATCTTAAATTCTGAAAAATGTGCATAGAAGTGTGTGTAATTTGCTGTAGTTGAGTATAATTATAAATACAGGCAGATCTTCAAGAACAGATTGGAACATACATTTTATATATAGGAATACAAAATACAAAATGATAATTGTGTAAAATTAAAATAGTTGACTTTCTCCAAAGTGTCCGTATCATCCTTGTCTCAACCAGATTTTAAGTTGTAAGAAAATAAGTACGTAGTAAGAAATGGCTTGGTGGGCTGAAAACCATGTGTTTGGAGGCCAAATGAATCAAGTTGGAAAGCTGCCAAGAAAAAATCGGATATCTGAATTGGATTAAAAAAAAAAAAAAAAAAAAAAAAAAAAACAGGACTGCTCACCAATGACCATTGATCTGTTTAATAGGTACATCAAATGTGTACCTTGGAACAGTTTCTGGCCCATACATAATACTGGCATCTTTGGAAAGTCTCGGCAATTCTGGCTTGCTCGCCCAATGGTAAATAATCTCCTGGTCTGGCGGACATGTTTTACGGAACACCTCGCACCTGTACGCGTTGGCTAGGTACCGCCAGAGGTGTACAAACTCATGCGGGAACTCGAAATTTTTGAAAACTTTGGACACCACCCTGATGTGGTGCAGCTTAGGTAGCATTAAACAATCCAAATGGGACAACTCATTGCAGCAGAGAAACTCGGTCTTTGCCCCAGCTAAGTACGAGTCCATTTTCATCAGTTCTGAAATTAAATGTGTTGGTGAAAGCGACACCTCTTTGATATAGAAGGAAAACTTTGAGAAGCACCCCAGCGAGGCTTCCGCAGCTTTTTGGGTTATTGAACCGCAGGTCAGGATTCGGAAAGTTGTCATCTATGTACTGCACGATGTCGTCACTGTCGCAGAGTACCTCGTTGCCATGCACCACAACCGGCAAGCGACTGGATAACTTTTTGAAATCTGGTGGTGGCTTGGACATATTGACAGTTGTGACTGTGAATGTTAGTTCTCCAGCATTGGCTTTCAGTAACAGAATCATGAACATGCGATGGCAAAATGGGCAAGCGCCATAACTTTCTCCATCGCGTCCTGCTTTAACAAATAACTCCAGGTGATTGGATGGCACAGACATTTCCGTATTCATGTCACCAGTGGTGCCCTCTTTTGGGCCGTTCTTGGCCATATTTGGCACTGAATATTGTTCCGCTGCCTGTGTTTTCGATGTCAGTTGAACCTTGCTGAGTCAAGTCCCTCCCAGGTGGGAAATATCTCAATGACACCAATGTTTAATGCTCACTCACTCTACCTGAAAGAATAAAATTATATAAATATTAAGCCTTGAACAGTAAACTGTGGCACTAAGTATAAAGCAAAAACATTGCTTACAACATCCATCTCAGTACATCAAATGCCCCTCAAGTAAAGGACTCACTGTGAACAATATTTTGTTTCAGTCAACAGCTTAAAATATATAACCAAATCAAAATCTGTTGTCAAATCACATAATTAATGCAAAAAAAAAAAAGATTCAAAATGTTTTTTCCTTCCCTTATATGAATCATCTTCATCATTAAGCAAACAATGCATGGCACCAAGAGCCTAAAGCCAGATTACAGGCAGACACAACAACAGTACAACTAGTACATTGCAATATGAAAAACTAGAGCACATAAAGGACACTAGTACATGGTACTAGTGCTAGGTATGATTTACAGGAACAACAGGCCCGTAGCCAGCAATTTCAAAAGGGGGGTTCTTTTTCTGAAAACGTGGACCTTTTCCCATAAAAACTTCATGTACCTAGATCAAATTTTACCCAGAGTGGACCTTTTCCCAGCAAAAGGGGCGGTTCTTTCGAACCCCCCGAACCCCCCCTGGCTACGGGCCTGAACAAGATAATATAACATCACAACAAATGTGAAAAGATTATCAATCATCTCTCTAAACAAACATCTTCCACAATCTGCAGGAACAAACAGCAAGAGGCCCTTTCCTTATCAAGTTGTGCACTTAACTAGACTGGTCCACTTTTAGAGGTCCGTACATGTCACGATATCAATGCTACTGCTGGTTTTGATGTCCTTTCATGGGTTCTGCACAAGTTCCATTCCCACTATTTACTTAGGGGTCATCCAATTTGTATCATCATTTTCACAAGTCTACCAACTGTAAACTCATTTTTTACTGGGGGTGGGTGAGTTAAGGCCCTCTGTACGCTTTCAGAAAAATTACTGAAATTATCATTAGCTCTTCACTTTTTATTCTCTCTGAAAGGGGGAGGGTCTGGAAAAAGTTTAGCCTTTATAGAATTATGAAAATGATGATAAAAATGGACGGCAGTCATATTGGTCACGGTATTACTAGTAAGTCATAAACGTGGACCAGTCCACTTAAGTGTACTGTTCAATGTGAAAAGAGCCTTCAGTCTGCCGATAACCTGAAAGACTCGACCGAACACTCAAAAGACTGAACAATTTGTAAAGAAAGCACCTACCCTGAAGACTTCAACAACCAAATAGGTGTACATGTAAAGTACATCTCACACCCAAGCTCTTACAACATTAAGTCCTCTAATCTGTCTAAGATCCCATTCTCATACCTAGATTGTTCTAACAGATCGATCCATCTCCATCTCTGATGTCTGGCAGGCCTAATGAAGCTGTTAGGGGGTAATAAACTATTGTTTAGCAGCTTTAGAAAGTGTGCCAGACATCTAAGCCGCTTAAGCTGAAAGCAATTTAGCGAGAAACCCCTTGGAGATAAATCGATCTTGTTAGATTGATCTAGGTATGGGAATGGGGTCTAAATTACCATCCTGCAATCAAGTCACAGATAGATCTCAGCATGGAATATGACAGCGTGACAAGAACACAACATGATGGTAATTGACTGCATACAATTATTCCTACTATAAAGTAGTGGGACCACCTTAACAGCAGACAATTTATACACCTATGTTGTGGAAGAGTTAGATCCTGGTTTAACAAACCAAGTGTTCAGTTTTACGAGTAAAAAAGATTGATGGACTCATCGCAAGCAATTAGTAGCAATCAATAAAAAAACGCTGACAGCGAGTTAAATGCCTTACTCTCATTGCCAACAATCTAATGGTGCGTTCTCAATCAAGTTGGATTCAACCATTTTATACCACCTAACTCTCCAGGCTGTCTAATTACAAATAGTTTGAAACAGGATGCCAATCAAATATTCTCAGTCTTCTTTTGTCATGAAACTGACACAATATTTCATTTGATTTGATGTATAAACTAACTTATCTTGGATCAAAACTGCCTGAAATATTGGTCTAAAATTTCAACCAACTTTTGGCTGTAGTTTCTTTTGTGAACCAGGCCCCATTTATAATTGTATATATATTTAGACTTTTGTCTTCTTTACTCTGCCCGCATCTTTATCTCACACATACTGTGAAGGTCAGTCTGGAGCTAAATGCCATGAAAACAATCAATGCCACTGACACTGTCATAACATGATTGCTTTACCCCACAAGGTTTGTCTCGGAGGGCCGAGGGTCAGCCATATGCCTGGAGAGGGAAATGGCTGTGTGTGTGTGTGTTTAGGTATGTGTATCTATGTGTGTGTGCGACTGTGTGTATGTGTCTGTGTGTATGTGTGTGTGTGAGAGGGTATATGCTTATGTGTATAAGTTTATGTGTAATTTTTTACTAGTGTTTGTGTATGTACTAGTATATACATATTTGTGAGTGTGACCACCCAATTTTTGGCATAATTTCTTAATGTAAATAATGTTTGTTTGTGTGTGCATTTGTGAGTGTGTTTGCATATATATGTTTGTGCATGTGTGTCTGTGTGTGTGTATATTTATGCATGTGTGATTGTGTGCGTGTACATCTGTTTGCTGGTGTATGTGACAGAGAGAAAGAGGAAGTGAGAGTTATTTCAGTGCCTCAAACACATACTTTTTTCTCTCTATGCATGCGGCTATTTAATCAAAATCAAAATTACTTAGTATTCAGGCATCCCGTCCTGAATATATATCAAATCAGATTATACTCGATTTGTTACAGTTGGATATTTAACATTAATTATTTCATAAATTACATAAATAATTAAAGAATCAAAGAGTCAAATGATCATAAAAATATCAGTTTTTGAAAATGCATTCAATTATTCAAAGCTGGTAAGTATAAATGTCACGAATCATCCCTTCCTGTGTATCATGACAATTTCGTGTCATCTTTATGTCACAGCTGACATCAGGCAACCATTTAAAATTCAAATCAGGAACAGAAATTACTCATTCAGATACTTATCAGTATAACATCCAGAAATGGCACTTTTATTTAACATTTGTAGGCGAGTCATAGTTTTGAGTACTCTAATCCAAGCTAGACGAAAAAAAAATGTCCAAGTAAACTTACCTGGATACTAGTGAGTTACAAAACATGGCCAATACACTTCTCTGTCCTACCTGTGATTTCCCTACCCCATTTTGAAATATGTACTTACTTATAAAATCGACAAGACCAGAACACTTCAGTATGTCATGTGACAGACACGATTGTTTCCAAAAAACAAGCAGACAGAACTGTCAACAGTCCTCAAATTAAACAGAACTATAACTTGTTTGCTTAATTGAACAGCTGTGGTATACTATAGTTAACAGAGAGAAGTCTTCCTCCTCCCCTCTCCTCACTTACTGGCTGATGTGATCCAATTTCCAAGCTGATACATATCCACATATTCAGTCTGCACTACAGAATACAGTCTGTTATAGTACAGTTGGGTCTGTTGCAATAACTATTTAATATGTCTATGCACATATTCTACTCGATTTTTTCCAAAATTGAACTTTTTTTAGACAAAAAAAAAATAAATAAATAAATAAATAAATAAATAAATAAATATATAAATAAATAAATAAATAAATAAATAACCGACAATTTCAAATTTGAAATTTAACTAGTTAGAAACAGCACAGGCATCTTTACAAGATTACAGTATTACGATTAACTGTTAATCAGACTCTATCTCGGAGTGAAACCCATCCGGGAACCAGAGGGCAATCTAAATGCAGAAATTACTTGGAGTGAAAGCCAACCAGGGAACCAAAGAACAATTAACATGGAGAAACTCTGGGTGAAAGCCACCTGAGAACCAAAGAGCGATTTATATGAAGAAACTACTCAGAGTGGAAGCCACCAGGGAACCAAAGAACAGTGTAAATGTAGAAACTCGGTTAAAAGCCACCAGGGAACCAGAGGGTGATCTATATGTAGAAACCTGGGGTTAAAGCCACCAGGGAAACAAAGAACAATTTATATGGAGAAACTTGGGGTAAAAGCCACCAGGGAACTAACAAGCAATTTGTATGTAGAGACTACTCAGAGTGAAAGCCACCAGGGAACCAAAGGACGATTTAAATGCACAAACTCAGGGTAAAAGCCATCAGGGAACCAGCGGGCAATTAATATGGAAATAAGGTATTACACACTCACACCAAGGAAATAAGTGACCACCTGACACCTTTTTCACAAAACAACTTTAGCCCCAAACATTGGTCTTAATAACTTTCAGAGTCCAAATTTCCTCATTTTGAAGTCTTTAAACCTGACCCAACAAGACTTCTGATTGTCTTTCCAATGATATTTACCCTTAGTAATGACTGTTGCCCATTTACCTGTAGGTAACAATCTAAATTCTTGAAATATTAGTGATTAGTCACTACCACAAATTTGACATACTAACTAGTCAACTATCAAAATATAGCAGTCTAATTTTAGCTTAATCACTGAACTTTTTTTTGGCAAAACAGGCACCTGTTCAACTAACATGTCTTGACCACCTATTCAGATGGCTTGACCACTGGCTCACTTGACTTGACCTCTTAGGCCACATTCACATCGAGTTGAGCCATGGCTCTACAAAGCCACAACCTAAATATGGCGGACGTACATGAAAGGAACACCGCCTAATCTTTTAATAGTCTCTCCACCTCTCACACGCCTCTCCATGTATCGTCCCAATGGAGCCGAGATTTAATGACTGTACCCCCGCAGGGACGACGCATGGGGAGGCATGTGAGAGGTGGAGAGACTATTAAAAGATTAGGCGGTTTTCCTTTCATGTATGTCCGCCATATTTAGGTCGTGGCTTTGTAGAGCCATGGCTCAACTCGATGTGAATGCGGCCTAATTAAGAGAAAGGTAAACTACAGAAAAACTTATATCAGTCCCCTTTTGTAATGTGACACAAAAGGAAAACCGCTTGATATACAACTGCCAAAAATAAAACAGAGATCAAAACAGGATTAAAAACATTTCAGATAAAACTCTCTAACCAATACATGCCCATTTTAATACACCTTGGTCCTGGGCTATGGAGAAATGAAGGCACCAGTTTGACTGTGGACTGCAAGAATACAGTATATATCAGCATCTGGTACGTGCATCTATATATATATATATATATATATATATATATATATATATAGTAGAAATAGCCTGGCCATGAGCAAGGAGTGGCCAAAAACTGACCATGCTGACCAAACTTAGGTTTACTAATAAAAGTTTCAACAGCGGGCTTGCTTTCTCTTACTCACAGACACACACACACACACAATCTGTCTAGCTCTGTCTTCTTTTTCTCTCTTTCTCTCTCTCTTTCTCTCTCTCCCTCTCAGTATTCATATTGAGCTCCTTCATGCCATTTTGTACACCCTGAATAACTTGCTTAAAACAAATTACCAAATATTTACACAAGGAGTTAATCAATACATATCAGTCGATCATTCAGTAATTCAGTGTATCTCTTGATCCACCCAGCTGACCAAAGAAATCCTACAATTTATAACACCTGTACCAGTAATCAGCTGACCCTAGTACCTTACCTGCCACTAAAAGACTCCATACATCAGAACCAGCCGAAACAGGACAGGACAGTCTGACTGACCACTGGCTTAGACTGACCACTGACTGAAACTGACCACTGACTATAGCACCACTCCACTGACCAGTGGTCAACAGCTAGCCAGCTCTGGACCAGACTGGTCAATTCTATTCTGGTAAAAACACCAGCCAAATGCAGCGCCTACAGCAGGATGCTTTGACCTCCAGAACCCTCCTGCAGTCAATACTGCAGACTCAGGTCTGATGCATGACGTGATAGTGGAGAGCCTCTTCCACAGTGGTCCAGCTCTACATCTGACCTAGCCAGTCCATTGGTTTAATTTTTGATTGGTACATTTGGAGCTTGTGACATGGGCGTAACTAGGCATACGCACGGATGCACTGTGCGTACAATTTTTTGGCCATCCATGATATTATTTAATATAAATTTAGTGTATTTTTCACGGAATATAAAAGAAAATCCCCTTCTTATTAAAGTCACCTGTATGTACAAATCCTGTGTATCAATTGTATAGGCACAATTGTTCTGACCCCCCCCCCCTCCCGTCTTGCATTCTTTTATTGAACTGAGGTAAACAATGCCTGTAACCTTAACAAGTCCTATCTTAATCGTCCGTCTAACTGGAACTTCCTTTACCTCTTAATTGGAGGGTTCAGTGGCCCTCAACTCTCCTGTAGCCTCTTTCTTGAAAATATCGAACGCATTCTTGGTGGCGATATTTATCTCGGGTAAAAATCTGCCTGAGTGTTATTTTCAAAGAGCAGCTCCCGCAACCCTCCAAACTAACAGGGTGACATGGGCAATTTTTACAAACAAATAATTAAACTGTAAGGTGAATGAAACCGTATGTTAGTTCAACTCAGAGGTGGATCCAGGATTATTCGAAGGGGGTTCCACATATGCGAAGTTAGCCTCCTTTTAAATAAATATACCGTTCTGGGTAATAAGAATATTGAAACTTTTTTAATTGCGAGAATATTTCTGACTAAATGATGATTTTATTATTAATGGAAAATAAAGCTGCGATGTGTGGTACATATGCTGTGATTACGCTGTCCTTCATCTGTTGCGTTAGTCTACATTTTGCTGGGAATTTTAAAAATCTGTGCGTACAATTTTTAAAGGTCTGGTTACGCCCCTGTGTGATAGGGAGTACCCCCCCCCCCCCCCGGCCCATCTCCCCATAGTACAAGGCATGACCAGTCATACTGGTGCCATACAAAACTGACTGCACCACCCCTTACTGACAAAATAGGCCCCCCTCCGGCAACTGTTGCAGGAGTACTCAATGTAAAAAAGGGCCTTAAAAGGCATGGTTACACTCAGGTCAACTTAAACTAGACACTGCTTTAAAATTGTTCCTATTCAGGTATCATGCAGTCAAACTTCACATACTGTAGGCAACCCTCTCCTACCAGTCACCCCCCCCCCCACCCCCTTCCCCACCCCCGACAAGACCCCTTCCATTCCCTCTCAATTGTAAGCCTCATGTACAACCTCCATCTGTAGTGATCTCTGGTAATCTGACAATATAAATTTGGATTGATCTACATGTAACTCTATACTAAATAAGAAATAAAAATCTCAAGTATATTATCTGAATCCAGATCCATGACATTCTTTAAAATCTTATAAGCCCTACTTTGGCAAAGCAATTACCTTTATCAAATATTCAATGTTAAATCCTAATTTAGCAAGAGAGACTGCACACTTGAATCTTCAATCCTAAACTTTCTAGCTGATCTTGTTCAAAGCTATTATTTGTGTAAAATGATCCCGTGGGTAATTGTTAAAAGAGGTTATCTCCTGAAGTGAACCCAGTGCACCAGACATTTTTTTATCTCAAATATCTGGAATCATGTTCTGTGCTAGAGGCTTTTCTAGTCAGGAAATATTTTGGCAATGCTACAAAAGAAATATCATGCAATATCAACATAATTATGATTTGATAGGCCCTCCCTTAAGGCCAACAAGGCACCAAAACATGTCGTAAAGCCCAGAAATCAATGATTAAAGATATATTTTTTGCCTGACTTTATCCATAGAAAAATTTGACAGATTTGCTTAAACTGAATAATTCAAAAGGCAGTATATGGTCCAACTTGCACTTTTTCCTCAATTTGTCTTTATTTAATTTATTATAATAAATGTTATTGTGAGTTTCATATCTTGTCTGTTCTTTTTTAGTTTTATTTCAATTTTGTTTATGTATTTATTTACTTATTTATTTTTTTTTCCAGCTGGGATTGTAAAATCACTTCCAGACTGCATGCAGTTCATTGTTTTTACAATACAGCAAATAAAGTCATTCAGTTTTGTTTTTACATTAAAGCAAATTGAGTCACTCAGTTTTAAAGTTTTGAAAGAAAACACTTGGTGACATTTAAACAAGTCCTGAAAGTTGTAGCTTCTTAAAACATGGGCAGATGAAACGAATCTGAAAAAACATCCATTTTATTTCCAGCCTACAACAGCAAGGCTATTTCCTGCAACAATACAATGAATCTTACTTTTTGCAAATTGGATCTATTGCTCCAACATTCACTTGTAGCCCTGCCATTTCGCTCAAGGCACTAACACAAGGACTGTTAAACTTCTGCTTGAATAATAGATCAATTTTTTGGCACAAACCCATCTCGGTAAACATCTCCTGACTCAGGAAGCTAATTTGGTCCATTTTGGAACTTTTCTATTCATTTAATTTTCCATTTCACATGATGCCTGAGTGCTATGATTAAATTGCGTTTAACCATAGTTAATTGCATTTAACCACTGGTCTGGGAATTTAACACCTGGGGGTTTTCCACATTACACTCACCATGAGTTCACTTCAGGATAACATTTCTTCAAACCAACCAGTTGGTTTATATTATTTTAGACCAAGCGGAATTTTTTAACCACTTCTATATAAAATTTTTGGTTATAAATAAATTTCATGACTTATCATTAACCTTGGACTGAGTAACAAGTGGTAAGGGTCCAAGCTAGTCTTTACTAAAATTAGAATAGGATTACTTTAGTACTGGTTTAAATTCCCCAATTCAACAAGGAGCCCTGAGTAAGATTTTAAAGGGGCATTACGTGGTAAATTATTTGAAGTCATTTCCTTTTCAGGCCATTCAAGTGAAAAGGAATTTAAACCAGTTGATAGTAAATAACATTAAATCCTTTTATTTGAACAACGAGCTCATGGATTTGAATATTATGTTTCTCTTTCATTTTACATAACAATCCTTCAGGATGTTACAAAATATGAAGAATGGGTCATTAATTTTCATTGATTATTTTATTATTTAACTGAGATGCAAATGCCAATGTATATTCTCTATTTCAATGGATTAAAAAAGATGGGAAATTTATTTTCCAGAGAGAGCAAAATGTAAAGCAAAAAAAAAAAAGGGGGGGGGGAGAGGTTAAACGATCAAAAGCTAGAAACAAACACACATTTGTAAAAAATCAATCTTAATAACTCCATCTAGCTTCTACTCACTGTGTGGAGGGCCTCCTGTTCCGCGCTGTATCTGAAGATTGCATCTTTCTCATTTTCTCCATATGTCATCAAGATGACTCATTTATATTGATGTCACCAGCAGTTACAGTGACATATTTATGTCTGAGGAGACAAAGTTATCATTTTCCATTCTCTCTGGATGACATCCTGATGGGGTGTGCTGTATAATGGCTACCTTCACTTCCTCACCTGCTCAGGTGGTGTGAACGCTCTAAAGTTTTCTCTCCAATAAGCTTTTTCTTCTTCTTTCACCTAAAAAAATTAATGGATTGTAATTTGTAACTTTATCCAAAAAGGGAATTAACAATTTTCTCTGACCAGTATGGCTTTGATGAAATATCTAATTAAATACCCATCCTTACCTTTACTCATACTGCACATAGTGTTTTACAAACCTGTACTCAAGTATTTGTTTCCCCCTTGTGTTAAATCCAAATTACATATATCTCCCCAGAACTGAAGACTTTACATCTCTCTTGATAAATTTTGAAATAAAAAAATTACACTGTGAGCCTGGTTTTCATCCACTGTACGACCACGCCCACCTCAAATATTCACTTTTCTCTTTTCCTTCCATTTTAAATATCAATTATACCACAATAGATCAGAAAGCACCTGTCTAAGGAACAAAGATAAAAAATGTCCTCATAAAAAACCATAAGTTAATTGTTTTTAAAGAGCTGAAAAGTGTTCCTTCTTGTGAGACTTGACATCCAACCCTCTATTTTATCTCTTTTCAGCGAGGATGTACTTTTAAACCATGTGTTTTCATAAGAGGCAATTTAAAAACCTGTTTCATATCATACTGTACATCATAAAGCAATTATAGTAGAGAACCCATTGTATTATAAAAACAGTAGAACTGTCTTGTCTGCCATCTGGCATACCTTTGAACACATTTCAGGAAAATGTGCATACTTCAGATGTGTTTAGTACAGATCCTAAGTTAAAACCTATGGGTCATTCCACAAAAAGTGAACATTTCAGTCTTTTCAGAATCATACACATTTTGTCAGTCAAGCACATGCACTTTCACATGCATATGATACATACACTCTCTCTTACTCTCTCTCTCTCTCATACACACACACACACACACACCATACACACACGCACGCGCACACACACACACACACACACACACACACACACACGAAGAATCACATTTGTGAACTAATTCCCATACATGTAAACAAACACACACACACTTAAGTAAGATCTTTAATCTGCTTTTATGAAGATACTTTAGTCTGCAAAACCTTGATATGTTATAAAATTTATGTTATAAACAACAAGTATGAACATCTTTCACATGAACATTTATCAGAAGTTAAATTACTATTTGGCACACCCATTGCCGTGTTACGTGTTATGCTTCCCGATTCAAACGAAACTCACCTTTCATGTCTCTTAAATCAGGATTTTTAACATAAAATACACTTTTCTAAAAAAAAAGGTACCAAGAATTTCTATTAAATCTTAATAAGTGATTTCCATACTCAGGCTGTCTGATGACATCAGCAGGACTACTCCAGGTTCAGGTAAACCAGTCCTTAGTGTGCCTTAAATGTTACAGTACAGCTTTCTGAACCGCTATCCATCCAAGCCGCATATGCACATTATGTAGAGTCAGCTGTCTCCATAGTTTATATAAATATCTGCCCTGCGATGTGACGTGGCTCAGAAATAAAGCCAGTTTACACACACTGTTCGAGTACCAAAAATAGAAGTGGCACTAAATTTTATCTTCTCATAAGAGGCATTTTGACTAGGTAAATTTTGATAAAATATAATGATAATAGTATTGTTTTATCTCTCCTAAACTGACCAAGTTTAACTTGATTCCATTTTGTGAAAAAAATTCAACATTGACTGACTCACATCAGGGGAAGCCTCAACATGTTTCTGATCTCACGTAACATTATAGAGCACTGACATCTTGTATATAAGGGTCAAAGCATTAAGACAATGACTTACTTAGAACAGGAAAATTATCTTAAAATACTACAAAAAACATCAACAGTATCAGATATTTATTTCATCTCGAAGAAATTATCTTAACTAGGTTAGAAATGAAATTATGGATCATTTCTATGTTACAAGAAATGACTGTGTCAAAAACTTCTAAGCAGCTAGCATTTCAGGCAATTTTGGTCTTAATGTGAGTTTGTTTTTTTAATTAAACTTAAGTTTTCCTACTAGCCTGGTACCTCTTTAGATGTGCAGTTGTCTGGGGCAAGTGCCTAGTAGCACAAATTGTTTGCCATGTGGGTAATTTTCAAGGAGAAAGATCTTTATGTGGTTTTAAATGTAGATTTTTATACTTTCCTGTTGAATATCTGGTGTCGGTGGTATGTTTCATTCTTTTTTTTAAGACTTAAAGCACTGAATGATTAGCCATGGACTGGAATAAAAAAATGCATTGCTTATTCAGAGGTACTTGGAGGCAATATATTTTGTTTATGTTCATTAGCTCTGTCAAAGTTAAGGCAATGGTTTTTAAATATTTGGGGTCTGTTGTGCGATGGAGTCAGTAAGTCAGGGTAGCATTTAGTTAACAATTTTTTTTTTCAATTGTTTGCATGGATTCTCTCTGCATCAAAATACCACGCGATGAATGTTTTCAACTTTTATCAAATTGGGAGAAATAGAACACCTTAAAACACAACAACTCACTCAAAAAAGGCAAAAATGATGAAAAACATACATAAAATTCATACCCAAAGGTGAAGACCAACTTTGAACTTGTGAACAAAACTTGGCCTACCTCTACACATCTACGACCCACCTGCCACCCTGTGCTTGCCTACAAACTGCCAGCAACTAATCTCAGCCAGATTAGCGCTACCTTTACGAGTTAACTGTATTGAATTACAATCTAATAGTTTTATCTGCAGGTTATCAGAACAACATTTCTCTTTTCAAAAACACAGGGCTCTTATGCCTGGTGATAAGAAAATCCAGTCCTGGTAACTATAACTGTACAACCATCAGTCATGTAGCCTACAATTTAAAAGAGGGGTGGGGACCTTTTCACTTTAAAAGGTGAAACACTCCTTTATTTAATGGAGCAGCACCTAGATCAAATTTAGACCTGCAGATCTTTTCCCAGATGACAAAAAAGTCAGAAAAGAGGATAATATTAAATGAAAATAATAACAAAATAATAAAGAAAATAGCTCTATAAGCCATGGTAGTAGTGAGTGCCATCTGTCACAGTCTCTAATGCTTGAATAACAACAGACACTGCTGTGTTGTCTGTAACATTTTCCTTGAAAATTCAAATAGGTGGATTTGTATAATTATTTTAACTTATCGATTTTTTGCAGACTAAAGTAATTTCATATTAGCTGGTTAAAGATATTACTTTATTGTGTGTGTGAGAGTGTGTGTTTATGTGTGTGAATAAGTTCATGAGTGTGTTTCTGTGTGTATGTGTGTGTGTGTGTGTGTGTGTGTGTGTGAGAGAGAGAGAGAGAGAGAGAGAGTATGCATACTGTAAGTGCATGTGCTTGTGTCCATGGGGGAAAGGGGGAGGGAGAGATGGAAGGGGCTTGAGAAAAAGTCATTCTGACTTCATTAGTTTTTAGACCAAGTTTGTTACTATAGTAATTACATCTATACTGTGTAGTATAGCCTGAATAATAATAATAATAATTTTATTAACGTCTTACGTTTTAAAAAATAAAACCCACCCTACTTAGGGTTATGAGAGATTAAAACCTGTACTACTGCATTTAAATTTCATAAAAGTTCTTTAAAAATATAAATACTAGTACTGAGAATCCTTACCTTAGTTTTCTGCCTCACACATTAAGTAGGTAAGGCCTCATAACTACCTATGTTAGAAACTCTCTATGCAACACTTCCCGGGTAAACTGTTTCCTCTGTCCCAAACTGAAGTACAGCATATCATTTGCAATTCAAGTCCTTCCAGATTTGTATCAGTTCACATACCAGTTTCACAATGTTTAAGTATTTTATTTCTAGCTATGGCCTATGCATTACTTCTGCACGCCAGTTGTTGTAAGTTACGTCTCTTGTGGCCCTGAGAGTTTCTGAAACTGCCACGAGTATTGAGGCCTTATACTGTACCAGGGTACACGTGATACAACTTTTTAACTAGAAACGTTTACTTGAAATGCCGAAAACTAAGGCCATACTGTAGCCGCTCTTGTTGTTGTTAAAATTACATCTATTTATTTTTTCTCTTCACTTATCAACCGTAGCATACATTTGTACATTTTTCTCTACGCTCTACTGATAGATTAACAAAATTCAGCGGTATAATTTTATTAAAACTTACCATTAAAAGCTACACCACTGTAGCTGTAATCAGTTTACCGGAAGTATGGTAAATCCCTGGTCCAAAATGGGATTCTATGTCAGTCAGTAACAAATCTCTTACTGCATGTCGTTTAAAATTGTATTGACATATCGGTGATCAGAATTCCATTTTTTATTTCATTTTTACTGATAAACAACAAGATAACACTTTATCATCTTGCATTCCGATGTGCTTGCGTTTGTCAAGGGAATTATATCAGATATAATTCCCTGGTGTCCGACTCTGGCGTCAACTACTGCCACCTATCGCAAGATTTCCAAATCAATTACTTACACGTATCTGGCGCAAAAGGATCGAGTATTTCGCCAAACATATGTGCGTTTGCAAATAAAATAAAAATAAAACAATTATCAATGTGTTGAAATAAATTGAAATTATCCGCTACTATGAAAAGTGAGCAGTTAAGACATGGAGTTGTGTCAAATTCATTTAATTTTTTTTTTAGATTCTTCAAAACAATTTATAAAAACAGTACGTTCTAAATCCTGTTTAGGAATGATGCTTATTCATAGCGAAAACATTTTATTTTCAAAAAGGTCAATGTATAATTAATAAAAATAAGAAGAAGAAGAAGAAGAAGAAGAACCCCCCTACATATTTCCTACTTTCCTGTCCTATTCTTTAAAGGCTGCTCAAGATCATTTCGGTTTTGTATTATAAACTGATGTGTCACACTTCCAAGTGTCAAATTACCTTAAAACAACATTGAAATAAATAAATAAATAAATAAGCGGGATGAAATTACTGTAAATCCATATAAAATGTAAACCGTAGCAAAAAAAAAAAAAAATGATAAGCAGACGATTTTTCCATATTAGACAACTGGAACCCATGGCGAGCATCCTTCGCCAACTCAGAACAGGGAATTATTTCGGATATAATTCCCTGCTCAGAATGAGCTTTCAAGAGGATGCAAACTTTACGATAACGGCACGTCGTTCTGGTTGTTCCACCCGGAATAGTAGGGTCGGCTTGAAACTCACCAATGCTGACTTTGGTCACGGAATGTTCACAGGGCTGGGGTGAGATGCTGTAAGACCCCTGAGATAAAGGGTGATGGCACTTGGCCATTTGCCAAATAGCTGAACAATTTTTTGAACAAAATCAGTCAGCCGTTATCCCACGTGGTTGCACTACCCAAAGGGTTTGAACACTGTTCTCTAGCGCCACGTGCTTCTTCCCTATAAAAGCCTGCGCTCAAATTCTCTTTCACACAGTAGTTTGGCAGTTGAAGAAGTAGGAAGAACGACTGAAGAATATCACAGGATTACCACCTGTTCGCGGTAACCATGTGTTTATTGACTTATTGTAGGTTATTGCTGACAAAAAAATCTGTTTTCGTAGTCTACTTGTTATGAAGGTTCGAGGTTCAAGTTTTTAACCACGGATTATGCTTGGCAACATCTTTGTCCCAGACAGAGTAAAGTTCGGTGTTTTTTCTTTTCATTCCGTCTTATGTGGGCATGCTCACTCAACCAGATCTCTGCAAGTTAATTCCAATTCTTTAATTTGCATTTTAAATATAACCATACCAGAATTCTATTATAATCCATACTTTCATACTGGTCACACGTAATGAGTATTCTGTTACTGGTTACTTTCCTTTTTCAGACAATGAAGGTTTCGTTTGTGTGCTTGCTTGTGGCAGCGGTAATAATGCTGTACGTCCACAGAACTGAAAGTTTGCCTCGCATCCGCCTGCATAGCATCCATTTGCCTGTCCCTGTTCGTGACCGGGATGGAAAGAGCCTGAAGCGAGGAACTGGACAGCAATCTTACTGGCGAAAACTCGAGAACGGTCCCTTCTTCATCACAGAGTGTGCGGTGTATGTTGCAACTAATAACCTGGACGTGCCAATATCTCTTATCACCAGTCTTTGCCAGAGGGCCCATGGGCTGTACATAAAGGGTGCAAAACGTAACGAACAAGCCTATGTCGGCAGTATAAGGAAGGCTGCGGAATCTTGGCCTGCTTCAGTGAGTTGACTGACAAACTGACTGTTTTAGCATCGAACATTTCTAACCAGCTTAATAGTATATTTTGAGTAGGTTTTCTTGAAAATTAAAAATGCTATGTATCATTGTTTATGATTCAAGAAATTTTAAAAAGTATTCCAATACTTAAGTTCTTGACTAATAGTTCAGATGGATTTTAATCGTTACTTCCTGATTATTTTTCTTTGTTCCCAATGTCAATTTCCTTATATTCTTCTATTCAGTTGTCTCCCATACCATAATTTCAATATAGATGACCCATTCGCCCTTTTTTGTCCGTAAAACATTTTGATTTCATCCAGTTCTTTGCTTCGTTTTACCTATCGTATTAAATTCCAGAGACCTGCTCCATTGAGAGACGAGAAAAGTGGACCAACTGGTTACTGGGAGAAGCTAGCAAACCGAGACGTCTTCATCAATCAGTGTGCCGAGGACGTTCGTAAGGCAGACAGCAAGGCGACAGACGATGCGGTTCGGACCATCTGCGGCAGAGCAGCCGAACTCTATCGCACCTATACTGGTAGAAACCAGGCCGCCTACTTGAGTTGTATCCAAGAAGCAGTGAGCTCGCTTTCGTCAGGGGTAATTTTTTTAATTCCAGTGTGATTTTTTAATGATATCTAAAATAAATGTTTTATGATTGAAATAATCAAAAGAAATGGCAAGTGTCGAGTGATTTTAACTTTGCATTTTTAATCGATGATAATTTGATATTTGCCACAAAAAAAGCTTAACAGATTTTTTATTAAGAAAGAGACAGCAATACGCGTTTGCTTTCATTAACTTTACAGCCACCGATTTAAACAAAAATCATCAGACTTGTGCATACACTTTCGTCCTTTTTGTTTCAAAACCACGATTAATATTTTACTTTTATTACCTCATTCATACATAATACTGCCTCATGGGTAAATTTAGCCTTTTTCTTCTCTTGATGTCCACTTTATTTTTCCTCTTCAGAGAGGCAATCAATCAGATGTAGACGACACCGAGACGGAAAATGACGTCACGGATAAAGAAATGAAAGAATTCTTTGATGCACTCTTAAATTGGTAAATATTATAATTATCCAAGCCTGAAAACATCTACTCATGAAGTCATCCTCACTTTGGGCTTACTATTTCAGCAGTTTAATGGTCTACTTTTATGTTGATTTTCTTAACGTTAGGTTTATTACATAACAACGCGTTTTGTGAACACATATTGTGGTTTAAAGTTTATAATATTTAAAAGGTGTCGGCCGTAGTACTACTGATACTATAGCAACGTAAATTCACATAATTAAAGAACTACTTTGAACAGTTAGAATTTTTCACTTTTATTTTCAGAAGAGTAACCACCACCAACTATTTGGAGTTCTTGGTTGCAATCGATTGTTTTTTCGATTTAGATTGGCAATAAATAAGTTTATATCGTGTATAATTTGTTTGTTCTTGTTATTTGCTTAAACTCTTTTAATTTTTTACACATTTTTTGGTAAAAATGGCGGGTAACTATAGTATACTTTTCCTACATAATCATCAACACTGCAAATAGTATAATAACACAAAAACTTTATTAAACTGTAAATGCTGACGCTATCTGCGCTGATGTTAATTGAAAAAAAAAACGGGAATAAAAACGATACTATGACATACGGTACATAAACATGTCAATCATCTGACATTCGTAACAGCTACTACTGGTATAGCCTATCCCCATCAGCCCAATCTTATCTGAAAGGGTCCTCTCACAGGCATTTTCAACAAAGGCGTCTTGCATCTTCATCGCTCGTACTAGATCACCCTTGTCTAGGGGAATCCTGACTGACTTGCCAATAAAGCATCTTTCGAGTTACCATGCTCGTTCAAAAACAAAATGTCTCTTATGGAGTCTTTGCATTGAAGAAGCAATAATTCACCGATAAATGTTACTTTTTATCTGCTCATCATAATTACTTAAATGCTCGTTTCAAAAAATATTAAATTGTCAATTCTGTCCAATACGCCCTCAACGTACAAGCAGGCATCCAGGAGAAAACTTCCATTACATGAAAAGAAAAATAAATACACATTAGGCCCATTTTTATTATATATATAATTTTTTAAAATTTACACGTACATGTAGTTGTGACCTTTCTGTCTGAGCGCTGAGCGTCAAATGAACCAAGGATCTGTTATAACTCCTTGAATGAACACAGCTCTAAATGCCGCATGCGCAACACTACTTACCACAACAAACCGATAGCCTCTTGCGCAAGCAGTGTCTCAGCCAGGAGAAATTAATTCAACTCTAATTCATCAAATTCAAACACGTTGAAACATATATTTGATCACAAAGCCCGACATAGAATATGTTGTATACTGCATGCAATTGGCGGTGGCATAACCTTATCTGCTAACTCGGGGTTGAAAGGGGTGAAACGACTGTAGAGAAGGGTCCTTTTTTTCTGAAGAAGTGGACTTTTCGTGGTGAGACCTACTTTAAATATTGATATTTTCTCGACAAAAAGGTATTTCATTCTAACCCACCTTCTAACTCATTATCAATCAAGAATAAAATACTTGTTATTGAAACGTCTAGCGTGGTATACCTTTGTCAACCAAAATACACACTTATCGAAGAGGGTCTGTTTTGCGGACTTCTAGTGATAAGTATTAAATTATTAGACGCTATATATTTAAATAAAAATGTTATTTCAAATAAAAACTTCTAATTGCACGACTTTGATAGAAAAGATGGACAGGTATTGTACACGTGGACAACCTTCGTATCAAGAAAATCGGAGACACCCAAACATTTCCTAGACCTCCATTTCACTTGAATCATGGAGAGATGATAATCAAGAAATATAAACATTGAAAACAATGGATTCAAAGAATACCTAAGTTGTAATAATTAAGATTAAGGTATACTCGAGACCGTCAGAAGGCCAAACCTCACGCCCCAAAGCTCACGTTCGCTTCATCAGCAACGGAAATTTAAGAAAATAGTCATGGAATATCTATTCTTTTTTATCTCCAAAGTTGTCACCAAACCAACAAAGTCACACGCATACAAATCACAAGGGCGGATCGAGGCCGTCTTCTGGGTCTTTTGGATTTTCAAGTTTACATTGATGGGGATCTATTTCTTTTTGTCGGAAGTCGGTCAAAAGTAAAGAATGGATCAACAAAGATAATTTGGAAAACGGTCAGAAAATAGCTATGGATCCGCCCCTGAAATCTGTGCTGAATGAAGGTAAAATATTCAATACCAAAAATCAGTATCTTGTACGTAAGAATTTGAGGTGTAGCTTACATGTACTCTGTAGGGTCGGGTGTAATAGGAACGGTAGTCTTAGGAATTAATAGAAGTCCGGGGTCCCATATGATAAGTATGGGTTAGGGTTAGTTGGAGTATTGGGGTCAGCAAAGGGACTGAATGTCACCTGACATAGTAATGGGAAACTGTTCCTAAGCAGACTGTTCCACTACCATTGCCGTTGTGTTTGCTTTTGCATCGTATGGAAAATCTTAGCTGCGGCCATCCCTGAAGTACGTTTCAGCACGCTCATCTTCTCTCTCTCTCTCTCTCTCGCTCTCTCTCATCCATTCATTCTCCCATTCTCTCTCTCCTCTTTCGCAGCTTGACGTGGCATAAACCTAGCTGATTTGTTTTAGCAAGACGCCCGTGTGTATAACGTGTATATCGAAGAAAGAATTTGGCCATCCTCGTGCAGTCCCCTAATACACGAAGTGAAAAATCACGCAAGCAATCTCAATATTTCTATACCTTGACTTTGAGAACAATTTCTTTAATTATCATTTTCTGTTGAACTAAACACCGTTTAAATCGTTCAATGAACCCAGCCTGTTAATCTTAGGCTAGATAGATAATCACTAAAAACCAAGGCACAATACAGAAATCGCATTGAAATTCCGAGTTTTTCTGCCAGAACCTGTCGTAGAAGCAAATATTTTCCTCTGACCCGAGTTATCATATTGCGTCATTTTACTAACCATATCATGACATACCTGGAAACTCCATCCCAGCAAAGGAGCGCAAATTTCCTGAAATTTTGATGGAAATCTCGTCGCAGTCTCGCTCTGTTTGTGTCACTAGCGGTGTCAGGTAACTCGATCCTGGAGACGAGTATTTAAGCACCGTCTACTCCCTGCATTTGCACATGACTGGGGGACTGGACAGAAGTGGAAGAAGTCGAAAACCATTGGAGGCTGATTATATCAAAAACGACCGAGATCAACTGTAGGTTAACTGTAAGTAAAGTAGGTAGACCTTTTGTTTTTAATATCACCGTGTTTTGCGACAAAGGTTTAGCCAAAACGAACCAGATGTTCTTTCGGTCATAAGCTATTTTTTCATTCTTTTACTTTTGATAAGTCTATTAGATCTGGTATAAGAACATGAAATTTCCTAGATTAGACAGTCTGTTTGTTGACGTCATCGTTATAACGTATGTGTTCACATAGGTCTGTATATATATATACACAATCTTTCTCGAACAAACGTCAATCTCGCACGCGCACGCACCCGTGTATTAATACATATATGCTTTCATGTAAATTTCACTTCAACCTTACTGAATAGAATAGTTAGTGCACACTTCAATGACCTTCTGGTCTTATGTTATTGAACAGTGCAGCTTTCTGTAGCGCTCCAGTTTGAGAGACTGACCAAGCTTATATGCTTTCTATGACCTCAGAGAGTCACCTACACTCGACGCGACCAGTTAAAACTAGATTAATATTGAATAGAATATTAATTGTGAAAGGGAGTAAAAATCCTGCATTTAGAACAGGTGTGACGAAACTGAGGGTCTGTGTAACAGATAGTCCGCCCTCCATATAGTTATAATGGTTAGGGTTAGCCTGTACCTAAAGTGTGTCAAAATCTAGGGAGAGGCTTACCTATACAAATGAAGAGAAAGCGGACTCTCTTTCATGGGGGAGTCTCTGTCACGTACGTTACACTGGACAAACTGGTGCGGTACAGGACAGCCCTTCCACTCATGTCTGCAAAAGCCCGCGCACAAACACGCACGCACATACACGTGAACACAGTCCTTCTCGAACAAACGTCAAACTCGCACGCGCAAGCACACGTGTATTAATTTTAAAAAAAGAGCGCCAAAAACATTATTACTTTATCTTTCAGAGCAGCTCTGCGATGAAGTTCACGATTTTATGTCTACTGGCCGTCGCCTTTGCAGTATATTACGTCCATGAGGCGGATGCTTTTAGAAGAAGATTCCGATTTCGCGTACGCATCCGAATACCACGCATCCGGTTACCACCCGTCAGGCTACCCCGAATTCGCCTTCGAATACGCTTTAACAGGATCAAGCATGCCCTTAAGAGATTAACAATGAGAAAACCGCCCAGTCAATGGGAAATGCTCGCTAACAGAGGGGTTTTCGTGCCAGAGTGCACAAAAGCAGTGCGTGAACAGGAGCCCGATGTGCATGCTTCCGATGTGGCCAACTTGTGCAACAAAGCATTCGATTTCTACGTTGCTCACGGTCCCCGTAATGAGCAGGGCTTCACGAATGCAATTGTGAGGGCAGCAGAGGTTTTGTTCAGCCGGGTAAGTTCAGGAGAGACATTGGCACTGGTGTGATTGCTATTTTGTAGAACACACCAGGATTAAAATTCACATTGACACATTTATAAGAGAAGTAGATTATTTTCCCCCCAAAAGTGGCTCATTGGCAAACTCCACATTGCTTTTTCTTCCTACTTCATCTGTTTGTTGTTTTCTTAATTTGTCATAGCACTTGATTTGATTTTTTATTTAACACTAGGATCAGCCAGATACTCTATCCGATGAAGAGATTGCAGAGATGGAGAGAGAAATAGCGTCCGACTCGAACGAATTTGAAGATACAGTCGACTTCCCGGACCCGGACGACACCGGTAAGAAAACTCATTATGTCGCGTTTTGCACATGCCTAATTTGATTATGTTTCTCTTACTTGTTACTGAATAGTGTTTTTCAATTTAAAACGTTCCATCATCTCACCTATCCACTACCCTCCAGTTTACAATCATCTCATTGCAGACATTGCAACAGAATGTTAGGGAAAATCAGAGTTGTTTTATTGAAGTGAAATAGAACTTCCCATTACCAGTACTACTGGATCCACTGAAAAATTAATTTCATTTGAGTTATTGTTTATCCCTTTGATTTTTACACTATCGTATGGTCCATATTTCACACCTGTTTAAAACTTGCAATACTTTGAAGTTGTAGTTTTATTCACCTGGATACCCTCATTTTCTGAAGATGCTCAGATAGAGATCGAAATATAGGAAGTAAACGATTTCAATATTAACACTTCATTCTTGTAGTTCTACATTATTTACCATTTTATTTGTAGAGAAAGTCGTATAGCTGATCCAACCACGTGGCTTAAAGACAGAAGAAATGTCCTGTCAGGAGACCCTCATGTTGAGATTTTTTATCAAAATCAACTTTCCGCAGCAATAAAATTGTAAAAAAAGTCGACTAAGAGCTGTTCAAGTGTTTGCTTTCGCATCGTATGGAAAATCTTAGCTTCAGCCATCTTTCGGGGGCAGAGCACGTTTCAGCACGCTCACTTCCCTTTCTCTCTCTCTAACTCATACACACACGCTCTCTCTGTCTCTTTCCCTCTCTCTAATGCCTCCTTTCTGTCTCATTCATTATCTATTCTTTCTCTCTCCTGTCTCTATTTCTCTCTCTCTTCTGTGGCTGCCGACAAATGCATCCTTATTTGATGGTAGCCTATCACCCCATTTCCATAGATTAGATCGACCTACTTTAGATCGACCTAACTCCCTGGGGGTTCACGCTAAATAGCTGTCAGCCGGGCGGACACGAAAGTTAATTATACCCTTACAGCTTGTAGTAGGCGGGACGGACATTTAAGTTGGATTATCTGACAGTAATCTAGTAAGACTCCCCGCGGGATAGATCGATCTAAAATCTATGGGAATAGAGCCTATGGGTCTGGTCAGATGACATCAGATTGTTCTCAAGCACCTTAACTTTTATAATCATAAGTTATGGAGATTGGTATTTCTTGGAAATCAGATGTCACAAAATGCCAAACGCGTAAATGACGAAAAGAATAAAAAGTTTTGCAGAGCATACAAGCACAATTATATCATCTAAATGTGTTGCTTATCTCGTAGACTAAAAATCCACCAGTAGTAAATGCTGAGAATAAGAACTGACCTTAAAAAAAACAAACAAACAAATTCTTGAACAGTATAAAGAGAACTAAAAAACGAATGTTTCTGAGGCTCAGTCCTTTCACGCACACTGAAAACCTCCCTCAAACTTCTACAGGTATACTGTATCGGCCTTGTAGTATTTGTTCCCTGTGCCACAAGTGTTCACATATCGTGTTAAGTATTGGTGCTACCTCGTTAAGGTCGCCCCTGAGCTCAGTCTGCCTATAGTCTGTGATGTTTTTAATGCGGAGCACTGGCGTCCTCCATTGTTGTTCAAAGTCTCGTATGTCCCTCTGCGTTATCTCGCTGTGTGCGTGGAGGTCATATCTGAGACAGGGGTTAAGGAAATCAATTCTTTTTTATAAATAAATAATTTTATATAAATAAATAAATAATAGATCTGCAAATGATCAGATCAGAAGAAAATGATTTACCTGCACATGACACTCATTACAACAGCTTCATCCTACTGGATTAGAAAGAAAATGGAACATATTCAAACAAAGTTAGGTCACATTCACAACCAGTTGTGGACAAACTGTGGATTAACTAGTGCCATGATCCACTTCAAAGCATGCCAAGATTTAATTCCTCTGCCCCAGCTGGGACAGTGCGCGTGAGAGGTGGGAATCCATACTTGATCCACGAACTAGTATAAAACAAATGAATATTTAAGTAGCAGTCTCTGTAAGGTTCAGAATAGGGTGGCACATGACCCTCTCAGATTTTGATGAAAATTGGTGTATTTGTTCATTATAGCCCCAAACCAACATAATGGATATTGGTTTGTTTGAATCACCCTCGGTTGCCATGGTAACAGCACTTAAAAATTTTCACCCAAGATGGCGGAATCCAGATTGCAAAATTTCAATTTCAGCTATATTTGAGCTAAAAAAACCATAAATGTGGATAAATAAACATTTTTCATTTTCAGACATTGTTAAATATCATATACTATTTGAACTAAAAACATATAAATAAATGTTTTTGGTGGCCTTTAAAAATTAGAAAAATAACTTTGAAAATGGGGAATTTTCAAAAATTCCAATTTTTGCTAAAATGCCCAAATTTGCAAATTTCAAATACATTTTTCATAGACTGGCCAAAGCCATCTANGGGGTTACCTGAACATTTTATATAGAAAAGCATATGGGAGAAAAATTTCAGGCTTAAATATAAAACGCTCTAAAAAATTAATTATTTTAAATATGCAACTTTTCGGGCTCAATTTATTAGTTTTTAGCATAGTTCTTCACAGTAAATTAAAAGAAAACAAAATCTGGGAGGGTCATGTTCCAATGCCCCTATGTTATTTTTCTGATTCTTACAGAGACTGGTACTTAAGTTTCTGCAAAATCATAACAACTTCTAACCATAAAAAAATACAAGATACATTAAAATTTTTTTGTATAAAAAGGGGCCGAGCAGGACACAAGTGCCATCTAGTGTTCACCAAGTAAACTAGGCCCTGTGTGATGTATAAAAACTCATGCTTTCTGGTAGCTTTATCTTCACAGAGTCAAGTGCATTAACCAAAACAGAAGATATCATAACAAAGGATACTTTGTTCCCATTATAAATCTACAAATGTTGTCTTGGGGCTCTATAACCCTTGACATCTGCTGCGGAAGATCCTCAAATCCAGACTTGTCCACAAAACTGAAGACAAACATCACAGCATCTGCTTGGTCCTTGCAGGCCTATAAAGGAAATTATTTATTCTTAGTCCACATTTCATCAACTCAAATTATGTTAAAGATTGCAATCAATTACTTGAATTACTACCACAAATTCAAGCATGGATATTAAAATCCAGAGCTAGACTACTTCCCTTCAATGTGGTCAAATTAAATATATTATCATTACTCTTTATGCAGCCCCTACTTTCTTTATCTATCTGAACAAGTTCCAGTATAAATTTTGTTTAACAATTATCCAACTTTTATTAAATCTCTCATAATGCCAGTGCATTGCTGCACTTACAGGTAAAACATGATCAAACTTTCATTAAATCCCTTGTTATGCTAGTGCATGATGGACTTACTGGTAAAACATGGTCAAACTTCTTGAGGGCATTTTCTCCTGCGTCCCAGAACTGGAGCTGAAACATGACCACTTTGTCCTCATGTAAGATCTTCACTGGCCAGTATACTTCTGTAGTCTGGATACCTGGGGGAAAATATGACATTTTATATTAAACAGTATATAGTAAACAGTGGAGAGATGTGACATTTTATAGAAATGATATACATGAATGTGTGCTGAGCACAGGCATGTATTCTTATTTTCTGCAAAAGTTCATCTTTTAACCCCCCCTCCTCCCTTGACTGGCTTAGAATTTCTGGATCAAATCATGATTTAGAGCAGATATTTTCTCCAAACACATAAAGGGAGTTATTTCAAACCCCTTGAAACCATTCTACCCACAGGCCTGATATACATGAAGAATCTGAAAGGACCAAAAATAACAAGTCCAAGCATGAAATCTATAGATAACAGACTGTAAACAACCTAAAATAACTGCAAAACAATACCATTATGTTAAATATACTGGTCTATTTCCTCTTAACAGCAGCGACATGTAACTTCCTAGACTTATATCTACCAGTACTTTTACCTGGTGTTTCGCTGTGTATGGAAGGCACTTCATTCCCTGACAGCTTAGAAATGGTGCTTGTTTTACCAACGCCACTCTTTCCACACACGAATATCTTAAACCTGTACTCCTCCGGAGCCAAATGTGGGGGAAAACTGGGTCTTTCCAGCAGCCCTGTCAGAAAACAATGCCAATTGTGAGTGTGGAATATTATATCATTAGCATAAAATACATAGGGTCTTATATTGTATCAGTATTTTTTTAAACAAGGTTTAATCTTGAGATAGAAAAGGAGGCAAACTGCATGTAGTATTTCAGCATGACTGTGAAATATTATATAATTAGCACAGTCTAGAATATGAAAAATCTGACATTATTAATTGGTATGACAGTAAATCTTTATAATAAAACATCCAAAACCAGTTAAAATTACTAAATGAACTCAATTCAGTTGACAAGAACTACTAGTATGGCTGCAACAAAATTTACCAAAAAAAAATGTCACTCTCACCGAAGACTTTTCGTTGATGAAGATTCCTGTGCATAATAGACATAATGACCTCTCGTCCCTCGTGACTCTTGTACCAGTCCCACTGGACATGACTGCCCGGCTTGACCAGGATGTCCATTCTGTAATGACCATGAACTTAATTACCAAGGTTACATGGTAACAGCTTACCCTCTTACCCAGCTTACCCAGATGCAGTGTGATAGCTGTCTCATGGATATCCTAGTCAACTAAGCCAGGGAACTGACTTCAGTTTTTTTTTTTTTTTTTAATTTATTTATTTATTTTTTTTGTGTGTGTGTGTGTGTGTGTGTGTGTGTGTGTGAAACTGGGGCCAGAGACTGCTTTCACACATCTGTATCTAATCTCATTTCATTACATTACAAGTACACTGTACAGTGGACCAAAAACTTCTAGCATGTGAATGTTTCCTTTCGCATGGGCCATGTAACGAAGCTTAGGATGTGTAGCTTAAAATGATCGTTGCAAAACACAGCGTACAAACTGAAAGCAAGCACAGCCATGGAGGGAGCAACATACAACCTACAGTACAGGTGTACCAATGTTAGCTACAAAATGTGAAAGTTACAAATACTAGTACGTAGCACAAGTGCATTTAGATTTACTGCTTGGTAAAATGTATATCTTCATTGAACTTTCTACCATACTTATTTTTCTTTTCATATTTTCACTCAAAAGTAGACAGCTTCAGTGAACAACACACAACTGAAACTTAGTCAAAGACTTGCTTCTAAACCTCACCTTATTTACGTTTGGCACACTGGCGCTTTCTACAGGTGCCCGGAAGTGACCTATTTATAGCTTGCATCCGGGCATTTTAAAGATGGATTCTTCCATGTTTGGGCTTGTTGCAAAATGCGATGACGTGAAGTTCTGGTGAATGATGGATATTACGTGAGGTTTTAACTTAAAAGATGCAATGAGCTCAATGCAGAGAGGGACGAAACGTCAGACTGTGGACAAGGACGGATGGGGATCTCGGGTGAGATTAGAATTACTTCAAAACGATGTGAAAACGAAACTCGAAAGACGTTCAAATACTGTATACTGAGTACATGTCATGTATCATATCAAATATCGAAAGCGGTCTATCTTCCACGTCTGCATTTAACGCTCATCCAGATTTTAAATAGATCCTCTGGTTCGAATGTTTTACAAAAAGAAGATGAAGTTATTTATTATAATCACAACAATGTTATATCGTCATTATTTTTTGACAATTTCTGAAAAAAAAATCTTCAGATACATTACACATTGAGATGTCCAGTCCCCAAAGACTGCAAACGGTGTCTGAGCAATAAACCTGCAATATGAGCGTTATTGATTTTTGTTGATAAATTGGGGCTTAGCAATAGTCCAAATTAAGGTCCATTGGTCCGAAGGTTTGATACACATAGTCCACAGCTGATGCATGAATAAAGTGTTTAGTCATAGTGTACTGGTAATAAAGTAAAGTTCATCAGAGGTGTGTGCATACAATTCTTTGGACCAATGGACCTTCAGATTATTGAGAAGCCCCTGATAAATCTAGTTGAAATGCATCCTTGCCAGTAAAATGCTGTCATGCCTTTGTTTGTGTGGTTTCAGGGAGGCTATATGAATGCCAAGAAACAGAAACTTCAGGAACAGTTCCAGGAAGAAAAGCCTGTAGCCCAAACTGAAGAAGGGCAAAGTTCAAATATATTCCATGGAGTAGCTATCTTTGTAAATGGATATACAAGTATGTAGGGCAACTTGATATGATTTTGCATGTACTACATTTTAAAATAAATGCAACTACAAAACATAAGAGAATATATTTACCTAAATCAAATAGCATGTAGGAATTATATTGTCCGTAACAATTTTTGCAACTGCCCTTTAAATTGTATTTTACATGACATGAAATAGATAAATACATATTTACATTTTAATTTATTTATTGATCTATTTATAAATGTATTTATAGATATATATGGTATGGCTATTTATTAATTTATTTCTATATTTTGCTCTCCTCAGATCCATCAGCCAACCAGTTAAAGCGTCTTATGATGCTTCATGGCGGGAAGTACATCCACTACCTGTCCAAACTCTCAGTCACCCACGTCATAGCGTCCAACTTGCCGGACAGTAAGATCAGGGACCTTAAGGTACAGAAAGTGGTCAGGCCAGACTGGATTACAGACAGGTGAATGACACAATGACCAGCTCTAAACCATGCACTGGTCAGTTAGTGACACTGACTCAGTCTAACGAAAGTCTTTTGAACTTGGCTGGTGATACATTTGTTAGTATCGAGTTTATGAGTTCATTTTCTTCATCTATATGAAATTGTATGCATCATTATGGGCCTTCTTTTCTCTTTTGCGAGAAGGTTCCTGGAAAAAAACTCAACAAATAAATGTGATTGCAATATTGCTGTTTTAATACAGTAGTCTGAATATATTATTAACAATATCTTCATATCAATAAATAAAATTATTGATATTTTGATATATTCCAGCATCAAGGCAGGCAAACTGTTGTCACATGTGCCCTATCTTCTGTATACAGCCAGATCAAAGCTACAGCCAGCTCTCAGCTTCTCCAGTCATGCAACATCCTCCACACACCAGCCTCACTTTGGAAATGAGGCTGTCAGTAACAACAACTCTAGTTGCCAGTCTGCATATAACTCAAGATTGGAAACTGAAAGCAATGGAAATTCTGTCAGCAGTAGTAAAACGAAACACTATTCAAGTTCTAGAAATGATCTTTTTTGTGAAGAAGGTTATCTTTCTGGTTGTACTTCGCTATCGCGACATTCACCAATTAGGAACTCTATTTCACCTGCCACAATTTCGCATCATTCTTCTATCACAGAATCTGTCTCAGTTGTTAAAAAATTACCTGATTTTCATCATGGGGCAGCTCAACCCTCCATGTCTGAACAAAATCTTAATAAGGAGCTATCAGATTCTGGATCAAAGCATTTCAAGTCTACAACACTAATGAGAGAGAAGGTCTCAGGTCAAAGAGACAGCTCTGGAGAAGCAGCAAGTTTTTTAAAAGACAGCGCATTCCACATTCCACCTCCTAGGAGGACAGTTGATGTCAGCCGTGCTCATCCATTTTTGAAAAACTCCGACCCAGTTTTTAAAGATTTATCATCAACATCGTCCGTGTCATCACTATCATCAGCAGGAACATCGTCACCAATGCCTGCATCAACATCACCATCATCATGTTTGTTACAAACTTTAAACAAAGGCCCAGATGGAAATAATGCCAGTTCTACTACTCCACCAAATACAAATCAACATGTTCCAGATAAAAGTGCTCATTTTTCTGGACCCTTCAGAATGTCAGACAATGTTGAAAGATCAGCCAGTCAGCAGATTTCTCCTTCCAGAATTCTAGTCAATGCTCAAAGATCAAGTTCTAATGTACAGCCGTTCTCTGTGTCCCCTCAGTCCAAAATCTCAGAAAGTGGTCAAGGGTCTGGTGGTAGTGGTCAAACTTCTGGTTCAGGTGGCCAGCTGCACCCTTCATCCAGTGTGGCCAGCACGGCCAGAAGTGGTCAAGGGTCCAGTAGCAGAGGGCAGTATTCCCCACATTCCCGTATGTCCAAGGCTGGCGAGGCAAACTTTGTTGCAGAGTTCTACAGTCACTCTCGCCTCCACTATTTGTCAACTTGGGGGGCAGAGTTCAAGGCTTATGTTAATGAGCTACAAAGCAAAAGCTGCGATTTTCTGGGGCGTGCTCATCTGAAGGAGATGATGCAGAAAAGAAAGAACGGTACTGATGCATCATGGGATATTGCTCTTGATCGTCTTTCTGTGTCTTATGGTGAAAAGTTGTCCTCTGAAATTTGTGATATTAGTGACAGTGGAATGGGTATAAAAAAGTTCAATAGTGACAAAATCAAGCAGCTCAGTGAGGAATCAGGGCGGGTTATAATGCACATTGATATGGACTCATTTTTTGTGTCAGTTGGACTGAGGAATAGGCCAGATTTAAGTGGTGAGTCAGTGTCGTAATTTTTTTTTTTTTTTTTTTTTTTTTGAATGATTTGAAAATTTGTCACAAGTTTACCACAAGATAATATATCTAAAATATGTAAATTTTGTAAATCTGTGACATTTTGACATTTGAGTGTACATATTTTTGTTTTTTAGAACTAAAGTATATGCTTCACAATGGTATTGAATTCAGTTTGATATTAAACTGAAAGCACTGATTGAAACTTGGATGATTTTGGATTTTTTTCCACAGGAAAACCTGTAGCAGTCACACATTCCAGAGGAAAGGGGGTCCCTGACAAGTCAGAAAAAGACGTTGAGAAAGAATTCTCTCTTTGGCACAAGAAAAAAGAAGAGAGAATGAGAAAAAATAAAAAATCGGGCATTCAACAATCCAGTGAACTCGATTCCCAAACGAACCTGGATGATGATCTTGATACTGACCTTGGTGAGGTACAAGACAAGCCAGGTCCAGTTCAGCAAAGCAGCGAAGCAACCTTTCATTCCATGGCTGAGATTGCATCTTGTAGTTATGAAGCAAGGAAGGTGAGGTGATGCCCTGCTAAGTGAATGTAAAATGTTCACACAAGTTTGATGCAAAAATATCATAACAACATATCTCATGTGACATTGTATCTCAACCAGCTCACTGCATCTTATCTAACACAACTTCAACTAACACAACAAACCTCAACTAGCACACTTAATCAGAACACACTGCATCTAATCTAAGAAAATCTACCATAATGCACCCTAACTAACACAGTAGATTTCAACTAACACATTACACTGTTGTGACACAATGTTGTACATATTTCCAGGCAGGAGTGAAGAATGGTATGTTCATGGGTCAGGCCAGGCGGCTGTGTCCAGAGCTAGTCACCATACCCTATGACTTCGAAGGCTACAAAACGGTGGCCCAGCAACTCTATGATATCATAGCAAGGTAGTAAAGAGTAAAATATATCTCAGTAATTGTTAAGTAATGAAAATGGGGATGCTTGGGCGTGATGCATGCATTTTAAACTGTTTTTTACCATGATTTCTATATTCTGGCTACCAAAGAAAATTGTTTTTTTTTTTTTTTTTTTGAAAATTAGGTTTAGATATATAAATATTTTATTGTTTTTTACAGCGGTAATTGTGTTTCATTGAATTTGAATAAAAATTATACTTGATGCCTCAGTATTGATACATAATACATCGTGTTTTATTAATTTGTATTGTTTAAAAAAGGAAAAGCATAATTAGATTGAAATTGATATATTTAGATAATTAAGAAAAGAAACTTCTGAGCGTTAAACACATTTTCTCCCATTCAGCTACACTCATGACATAGAGGCTGTAAGTTGTGATGAGATGTATGTTGACTGTACAGAACTGCTGCAGGACACTGGGGCCTCACCTGAGGAACTGGCGGCCATTGTAAGACAGCAGATTAGAGAGGTCACCAAGTGCAATGCCTCGGCAGGACTAGGTACTAAAAGTGTTTGTAGTTTTGCTCTGTGTGTGTGTGTGTGTATGTCACTGTGTGTGTGTGTGTGTGTGTGTGTGTGTGTGTGTGTGCGTGCATGTGTCACTATGTGTGTGTATGTGTGTGTGTTTGTGTGTGTGTCACTGTGTGTATCCTTGAGACAGAGAGAGGAGTGCAGAGAGAAAGTTAAATACATAATTATATGATCCAAAGAGATGTGCATTTACATTTGTTGATTATTTGTTTATGAAAATTCATAATTGTGTTTGTGTATGAAACTGATCACATGCATACTGTTCAGCCATTCAAATGGACCTGTAGTTGGTACTAGTGCAAAAAATGAAACTTCATATTGATACCCTTGTTATTCCATTATCCCACCACCAAGATATAAATACTTCTGATTTTCATTTTTCAAATAAATGTTATTCTGTTCTACAGGGATTACACAGCAAGCTTTCAAGTTGGTTCTACAGAATAAATGCACTTTTTTTTCTATTTTAAAAGTGTTAATTGAGATTTCACAACAAGATATTTTACATTTTCTCAGCGGGTAACATACTACTTGCCCGGATGTGTACAAGAGTGGCCAAACCAAATGGTCAGTTCTACCTACCCCCTGATCAAGTGACAGACTTCATGAAAACGCAGTCCATACAAGATATCCCTGGTGAGTAGGAATTTACTACCAGGCAGACCTTATCAAAGAAGGGAAACATTCATTAGCTTGTACCTTGATAGCTTAATAGATGTATTTTATTTTATTTATTTTTTTTAGATTGTTTTGGTTCTTTGGGTGGGTAACTTCCTCCCCCTCTTCACCAATTAGGACAGTAGGATCTTCCACCAAATCAGTGTCATCATAGTCAGGGACAAAATAGGCTTCACCTAGCATGTCTAAATCATCCATATCTGAAATAAACTTATGCAATGGTTTATTTTCTTGAATGAATATAAATGATAATGAGCTTTTCTTTCAAATGAATATTAACATAATTTTACATTATTAATATAGTATTACACTATCAGCATAGCATTACATTACTAACATAGTAATACAGCATTGCCGCATTAACTATGTTCAAATATTCAAATCAAAAGCAAAGTTAAATTACTTTTATATTAAATCTATGAAAAACTTTATCATGAAAATATATAATAAGAAAAAATTACCTCAACAATATCCAATCCAACTACCATAAATACCGTAACAATATCCAATCCAACTACCTTACATGCAAAACACATGCTCAACTGCAACATATAAGTTTGAACAGTGTAACTATGTTAGGCAATATTTAACAAAAAAATTTTTTTTCTATAACCCTAATCCAAAAGAAATAGCTATCAACTTATTCATGCAGTGTTCAATGTATCATGCTCAACAATAAAATTCGAACAAATATTTTAAAAAATATACCAACTTGGACTGTTGTTTTGTTTTTTGTTTTTTCAAATTACCTGTAATATAATAGGAAGTACAAACTATAATATACTTTATCAAATATATATCTTTATTATGTAATATAATTTTTTTTTTTTTTTTCAATATCCATATAATTTGTCTCTCAGAAAAAAAATTATTTGTATCATTTCTTCTTTGGAAATCTCATTATTATAAATATGCATATTATCAATAAGAAAATCCATTCCCTTCTCTTTTAGAAGGTTTTCATTCAATATCTTTCCTAGATAGATTATAGTTCTGGCTTCATACAGAGAGTATGGTTTTAAGTTTTGTAATGAAATTTGAAACAGAGATGAAGGATTCTCTATCCATTTTTGGGCCACGTGATATCTATGTCTAGCAAAATGCTGTTTATGTTGGTATCATCCATCACCTAGACAAAAAAATACAAATAATTAAATTCCTTTTATTTCAGCACTGCCGAACATTAAGGAAGTATTTATATACAACTATACCTTAACTAATAAACTAAATATACATCAATATAATCATTCTAAGGCGAAATCTCTTAAATGAGATGGCATCTTAATTTGTCTACCAAATCTTGATCTTTTTACAATTGGTTCCACCAATTGTGGTTCATTCAACTGAAAATCACTCTCTCTTTCAACAAATTTTCTCAATCTATCATGATGTACCACCTGGTTTTTTCCTTTTTTATCGTTAATTGTATAGAGAGGTGGGGATGCTTTGATAACATCATATGGTCCTCTATATAAGGGTCTAAGTTTCTTACTTTCTCCCTTTTTATGACTTTTATCCTTCAAATATACCTTCTGACCACAAGTATATTCACTCTCTCTCAATTTTGCATCATACAATTGTTTTTGACGTCTCTGCACACCTTTCAATTTTTCTCTAGCCATTTCATGTGATCTATTTAGGCTTTCATTCAAGTTTTTCAACCATTCATGAGTCTCATATGGTATCAAATTTTCATTCATACAACCTGTTAGTAAGTGCAATGGCATAAAAACTTCTCTCCCTAACATCATCATGTTAGGAGTAAACCCAGTTGATGCATTCACAGTTGAATGTAATGCCATAACTAATTGAGGTAAATCTCTATCCCAATATCTCACATTCCCTTCTACATTACATCTAATCATCTGTGTAATAATACCCATGCATCTTTCAACTTGTCCATTAGCACTTGCTCTAAAACCAGTTGTTCTAAGTTGTTTGATTTCTAATAATTTACACAAATTTCTAAATAGGCTACTTTGAAAATTTGAACCTTGATCTGTATATATCTCTTGTGGACAACCAAAAGTAACTATGAATTTTTCAAAAAATGCTTTTGCTTCTAATTCAGCTGTCTGATTTGGCAATGCCACACATTCTATCCACTTAGTAAACTGATCTATCATAACCAAAATATAAGAATTCCCAAATTCACTTTGAGTAAATGGTCCAAGTATATCTAAATGAACCTTTTCCATAGGAAATCCTGCATGATGTAATTTCATTTTGGCTTTTGGTCGAACAGTACTATGCTTGTTTTTATTGCAAAGTTCACATGAACTTACATACAATTTACAATCTCTATTCATTCCATGCCACTTGAATGATTGTTTGAGTTTTTGCAAAGTTTTCTCATAAGCAAAATGACCAGCTGTTTTTGAATCATGACAGAAAAATAAAACTTCATTGACCAAATCTTTTGGTACAATTAAACATAAATTTCTATCCTCTCTCTTTTCCCATTTGTAATATAAGACATCATTCAAAAGAATGAATTGTTCTTTGCAATTCCACAATCCTTTCACTGCCATACTACACAAATACAACTCTGATTCTTTCAGTTCACCATTCTCTAACCAACCTATGATTATTTTCAAATCTGCATCTTTTCAAGTCATATCCTTTCAACCAATTGCATAATTCATCTCTTTCATTCTTATCAGTTTTATCATTTGTATCAGCCCTCTGACACATCAAAACTGAACTGAATTTTTCACAATTTGTTTCATTCTTCATATCATCCATTGCATTCGATTCAACTACATTGTCATCTGATTTCTTACTTCCCAGAGGAATTACATCATTCACATCAGTCTCAAACCTTGACCAATTATTATGTACTCTCTGACAATAATGACATCCTGCACAGGGTAATTCACTCAATTTCACTCCCACCTTATAGCAATCACATTCTTTCATAGCTACAGGTATTCTTGATAATGCATCTGCATTTCCATGCTTCTTTCCTGGTCTATGTTCAATGGTAAAATTATACTGAGATAATTCTTCTAACCATCTTGCTAACTGACCATCTGGGTTTTTAAATCCTAACAACCACACTAAACTATGATGATCTGTTCGGATTCTGAACTTTCTTCCCAACAAATAATGTCTATATTGTCTACAGAAGTTTACAACAGCTAAGAGCTCTTTTCTAGTTGTACAATAACGCCGCTGTATAGGTGACATAATTTTACTTCCATAAGCAATAACCTTTTCTTCACCATGTTGTAACTGTGAAAGTTCTGCTCCTATACATGAATATGATGCATCTGTATCAAGTATAAATTCACCTTCAGACAAAGGAAAGGCTAAACAAGGGGCAGTTGTTAACTCTTGTTTTAAACTTTCAAATGCTATTTGATGTTCATCTGACCAATTGAAAACACTTTTATTCCCTGTCAACTCATACAAACAAGCAGTTTTCTCAGCAAATTGAGGAATATGATCTCTATGATAATTGATGAAACCAAGGAAAGTTTCACCTTAAAACTTGTGTATGAAAAATGCAACAGCTCTTTTTTTTTTAAATCAAATCAAATCAAATCAAATTCTCTTATTTGGTAAAGTTAATTTTTGCAATTTTAATTAAATTGCAATTAATTTTAATTTTAATTTTAAATTGCAATTAATTTTAATTAAATTGCAATTAATTTAATTAAATTGCAATTGCAATTTAATTTGCAATTTTAATTTTAATTAATTTGTTAAAACAAGGTAATTATTGGATAAACTTTGTCCCTTTTACCTGCTCTACAATTCCCCATAGGTGTGGGCAGGTCAACCTCCAGCAGACTAAAGTCCATGAACATTCAGACGTGTGGTGACCTTCAGAAAGTCTCCCTGTCCACTCTGCAGAAGGAATTCGGCCCCAAAACTGGCCAATCACTGCACAGGTTTTGTCGGGGCATAGATGATCGTCCAATCAAAGTGGAGAAGGAAAGAAAATCCGTCTCTGCTGAGATCAATTATGGGATTAGGTTCACGAAGGTAGACTGCTTGTTTATTTTCATTTTTTAAATTAGCTAAACTGTCCAGCATAATGACATTTTAAAACTGTTCAATTTTTACACTTACTGAAAGCATACCTGTAATAGGTGAACATTTGGGATTTCATCAGTCACATTGAAGTTGCGAGACAGTTTATATTGAACAGTATAGTGAGAACTGCTCACTGTAACACTGTCCCAGGTGTCAGACAAGTTGTGCTCCCCCCCCCCCCCCTTGCTTGTTCTTGCAGTGAAGGTCTCAAGTCTTGGGACAAAAGCTTTATGCTTTCAGTTATCATAGAAATTCTTCTTTTGGTCAAAATTGCATCATATTTACATCAACTTGCTGTGTTCCAAGAAGTTTTTCAAATGACTATGAACTCAAATATTTATACTTAATCATTTAGTTCAACATATTAATTTATATCCTTTTCATTTTAACAGTGGGAGGAAGTGGAAAAGTTCTTATATGAATTAGCAGAGGAGGTTCACAATCGCATGTCAAAGGTCAAGGTGAAGGGCAAATGTATAACAGTGAAGTTGAAGGTCAGGAGCCAGGATGCTCCTAAAGAGACTGCCAAGTTTATGGGTAAGAAGGAAAACTTATTCACACAAGTTAATTATTTCATCTACATGTTCCAACATCACCCAGTCTGTACATTGTGAGTAATTATTATTGGGTGCCATCCACTTTCAGCAGGTTGGCTGTCATGGATCACCATGCCTCTTAATCTTGTGCCATTCCTATACTTTCACTATATTTTTGATTGGTCCTTTGTTTTATGCGTTGTGACCACTAGGGTCAAGTATGATGGATAGATGGGATATTGGGGACGAAAATGATCAAATAAATGGTTAAGCCCCCTTTACACTGGACGGCGTCCTTTCTGCGTCCAGCAGTCCGGCCCCATTTGAGAGTTTAAAAATTATAATATTTTACGTGCCGACAACTGGCCGATCATTGAGCATTCATTCTGATACAAAATTAATGCTCGTGCCTCCTTATAAAGACCACAGCGATGCCAAATTTCATGGTCGCAGAGAGGACGCAGAAAGGACGCCGTCCAGTGTAAAGGGGGTATTAGAAATTATGACATACAAGTGATAATTTTGTTAAGCAGAATTATCCTAAGAATCCCCCCATTCACCTTCACTTTTATTTATTTATTTTGATGCTAAGTCAAAAGTAGTTTTGTATTTGTAGTTATCCCTTTCACACTTCATTTAGGTTTGTGTCGGCCATGTGTAATCTGTGGATTTGTTAGTCCACAGATCAACTGGTTGTGAATGCAGCCTCATATTCACTTAGGGACCTTTCCCACAGATATTTGGATCAATCTATCTCCATGGGGAGTCTCACTAAATTGCTATCAAATTAACTGGCTTAAACGTCTGTCACGCCTAGTAAAACTGTTAGGGGGTGGTTATCTTTACTCCAAGCCGATTCGGTAGGCGTGAAAGACATTTAAGCCTCTTGAGCTGATAGCAATATAGCATGAACCCCCAGGGAGTTAGGTTGATCCAGATGGATCGATCTAAGTATCGGAACCCAGTCTTAGCTTTTACCATGTGACTATTGTATGACTAGGACATGGAGTATGTGACAACCTGGCCAAATCTGTCACCTTGGCAACCGTCACTGATGAAGCAGATCTGATTGGACAAGAGAGTGTCAAACTTGTACGTCAACTTAAGATTGATGCAGAAGATTTCAGAGGGGTAAAGTATAATTTCTTTCAATCTTTTTTTTTAATTTAATGTAGTGTAATAAATAAAAGCAGAAAAAAATCTGGTGCCCAAACATTAAACCTTCCATTTTAGACATTTGATTATTTTGTTTTTGCATGATCATATAAAATTATTTTGCCATTCATACTCATGAACAACTATTGTATTACATTTCCAGATAGGAATCCAGGTAAGCAAACTGGAAGACAACAGTGGCAAATCCACAGTGAGGGGTGGGAAACAAAGCATATTAGCTTACACAAAACAGTTACCAGGACCTGGGCAAGATGGCTCTAATGTCTCAGGTACATCAAGACAGACCAAAGCTGAAGTTACTGTGGACTCAGGAACGAAAATGGCAGAGACACCTGACATGTTTGAGTTGGCAAGGTAAAGCAACACTGAACGCCTTCAAACTACTTGTTTTAAGTCAGTTAGCAGAAAATTTTTGTAAAAGATTAAAGCTAATTGTAGGGTCAGAGTTGTGATAACCTGAGAAAACAAACGTCTTAATCTCCCCCCCCCCCCCCAAAAAAAAAAAAAAGAAAAGAAAAAGAAAGAAAGAAAAAGAAAAACTGCTATTGGAACAATATAGGTAGTTGACTATATGCACTGTTTATTAGTTTTGTACCAAGAAAATAGTTTGTTCTTGGCCTCTTTTTTGTGATCTTTAATTCTAATAGTCAGCAGGATAATTTGATAATATATAAGAAAAATATGTAGACTGCCATGTAGATTTTAAGGTTGAATACAAAGTTATGTTTAAAATTAATAATTTGTTCTTATGCTTTGTTTTAACCAGAAGGAAGACTGCCAAGGGTGTCCTTCCCCCTCTCCCCAACCTTAATGTTACTGTGACCACGGCCCGTGCTGTACAGGCTGAGGCAGAGACCTATCTGCCGTCCCCATCTCAGGTACGTGTATGTATTTAGGATTCAATTTATTGAAGATAATGAATTTGAAAGTGTTCATTATACTGGTAAGGGCAGATAAGGGAAAATTGGTATGAAAAAATATAGAAAAAAACAATTTGTAACTTATGTTCTTGGCATCATTGACTGTATTCTGTTATTAATGTATTGTCACTGTGTTAGGTTTGAAACTAAAAAAAAATGTTTGAAAATACCCTTTTGAGACATCATTGAATTTTTGTACAATTTGCTGGAGACAGGTGGACCCTGAGGTACTGAGAGAGCTGCCTCCAGACATTAGAGAGCAGATAGAAAATCAGATCAAAAGCCACAAAGAAAAAGCCACTGCAGCTGCGTTTACCCAGAATGCACCTCTTGCCAAGATGGCAGCAGAGAATGGTACAAAGTCGATACACAAATAAACTATAAATTAGTCTTAGACAGCCAGATATTTTCACATAAAATATCATTGCAATTCATTTAACATGCTGTGTATATTACAAATTTAAAAAATTAAAAAAGTTACTTTGCATCTTTGTGAACCTGTTCTGACTGCATTGCTATTATTTAATTATATATTTATTGAAGATGGAGAACCTTTACCAGGCTGTTCACACTGGAGAGTGCCCACTCCACCAAGCACCGAGTCTACGACCAAGAATGACACCAGAGATAAAACAAACGTTGATAGTGATGATGCAGAGAAGAGGCCCAGGCATCTGTCTGGTCCCATTGTCCCTCTTCCCTCTCTGTCTCAGGTACAGGTTGTTGCTCCCTTAAACATTGCTGTTTAATAAGAAATCTTTAATTTTTTTTTCATTTGGCTTTAAGCAGATGTAATTGTGTTTTATTTAAATAATTATGTTTTTCTAGATAATCCTGTAACCTTCAGTTCTAAAAATGCTAACAGTCAAGCAAGAAAAGGATAAGTAGATGATTTCACCTTTTTCGACAACTAGAACCCAGTTTATTATAAGCATTATTTATCCTCAAGCAAACGAACAAACAATACACCCTCTTCACAAATGACCATATTTTCAGGTTGATATGAGCTGTTTTGATGCTTTACCACCTGAAATGCAAAAGGAACTGAAAGATGCCTATGAAAGACAAGAAAAGAAACAGCAGCAGCAAGAGCTGGTAAAAAAGATCTTATCACTTCCTCCTCCTAGCATGTTTTTACAGCTAAGTTTAATTAATTGTTTAGACTAAAAGAAGAAAGGGAAGTGCTTTTGGATGAAAATGTGATAGAACTTAGAGTGCATTGTGATAGAACTTAGAGTGCATTGAAAGAGATGGAAAATTTTCATGTATTTATCATATAAATAAAACTGGGCTGTTTTACTTGACATTGTACATTGTACTTGTTTCTTTTTTCCCTCGCTCTGAATTTCTTAAATTTTACATGTCATTTTTGTGCCAAAAAAACTCTTGCTTCTTTCCTTTTCATTCTTAATTTTAAATTGATATTGATGGTATTTCATAAACTAAATTTATGGATAATTTTTTAGTTCCAAATGCTGCAACTGGGAGACTCATCGAGGAAAAAAAGGGTGTGGTCAGAGTGATATGTGTTGTGTTTTGTGCATTGTGATATATTAAGTGGAACGTTTTTAATATTGTGGTTCATTGCACTTAGCACAGGGGGAATTAGGGTATTAAAAGTTGCCATTAAGAGATAACAACTGTTTATTTTGCCCAGAAAATGGATTTTCCTGGGGTAAAGGACAATTTTACCATTCTTACCAATAGCTATTCCCACATTCAAAGTTAGTCACCGTTTTTTTTTTTTTTCTAAAAAGTTTGTTTTTTATGTAATATTTTCTTAAGAGATTATTACAGAGTGCAACTATCTATGGAGGTCACGTGTTGTGATGGCAAGCACAAATTTCAGAATTATTGTGTTAACCACTGTTTTATGTGGTAAAATGGAATTTATTATATTTATATGAGTTGTTTACGATGCCTTTATTGTGAAATATCTATAACTTATGAACAGTTGTTATCCCTGTAACTGATGTTTTTACAGTGGAGTTCCAAATAAAGTTGTAAGTCTCGGGTGTGTATTTTGTGATTTTTTTCCATTGCTGAATAATGGTTTGTGAAGCACAGCATTTGTTATTGTACTTATTTTTTTCATGATGTCAGGGCTTGACAAATTATTTTGAGGCACTTGCCTTGCAGGCAAGTAGGTCTGAAGATCTACTTGTTCAACTCCAAAATTTGCCTCACTCTCGGGGGAGAGGGGGGGAGACGGTGTTTTGGAGAACACTAAAATATCAATAGACATAAAGCTCAGTGAGGCACCACTTTGATCAGATTTTCTTGATTTTGCGAAGACTTTCACAAAGTTGTTATGCGAGTGATCCATTAGTAAGACACTTGCATTTTTTGGACAAGTTTGACAGAAATATGTTTTTCGGACCACAGAAATCACTTGAGCAGGGCAAGTAATGCCATTAGGTATGTCAAGCCCTGTGATGTGTTCATTTGCAGTGCATGTGCCATTGTGTGTACACCAGGCCAGTGTTCATGTTACAAATATCTTCTAAATACCCGAAGTGTATTCATTATATGTTATCTCAATTTTTTTATTTATTTCAGTTGTCAAAACAAAAGTCACCAACTAAAAATTCCTCACCCAACAGAGCTGGAAAGAAAAAGGGCAGCCCACTCTTCAAGGTTTGCAATAATCATTAAAGGGTTTGCTTCATGCCGTCAGAATGGCCTGGACGGAACATATTCTTCAGAAAACATGCCCAACTAACGATATCTTAATCCAAATACACAAATTAAAAGCTCATTTTGTAAATTTTTGGCTTTAAAAAACGTCCTATTTGCTCGGCCTGGGAGTTAATGAGCTACGTGGTCACGTGGTCCAATGACGACAATCGAGCCACTGGAGAACAGAGCGTGCTTAGCTGTCAAACTGAGCTGCATTGTCTACCTGTAAGATGACTTCTCTNCCAGCTCTTGATATGATCTAAACCACCTGAGGTGACCATGATCTAGAGCATCGCAACTATTGTCACCGAAGTTAGTAAGTAAGTCACGGAAGACCGTCACAGACAAAGAAAGATTGTCAACGAGAGCTGCAATTTTGCTGAATCCCACGGCAACACACCGAGGCATAACGAAAATTCCTCAACTCCGTTCAACACAACTTTCCTTAACTTCTCCGTCTGCACAGTATGCACCATGCAGCTCAGTTGAGTCTCATAGACCTTTATCGTGATTGTCGTCACAGTACCACGTGACCCAGATCTGTTGCTTCATTTTTGCATATTGAGGTGAGGTTTACTAAAACGCTTTTTTTTCTACTAATAGATTGTTTTTATAATTTTTAAATGGCGGGGATCGATTAAAACATACCTCTAGTGTATAGATTGAGTGCTGTATCTTCAAATTTCGAGAAATGGATTTTTACATGAACATTGTCCTTTAACTTATAAAGGGTCATCTGCATAGAGGGAGTCTGGCAGTTCAAAAGAAATGGTCAAAAAAAGGTCCGCTCTGAATAAAAATTTCATGAAGGTGCAGTGCAATTTTTCAAGTTTGTACGGGTAAAACAGACCATTTTTAGACCCCCCCCCCTTGAGTGTTTGAGTAGCCACCAGTTTCGAAAGGGTTTACTTTCAGATAAACAGATTCACACGCCTTCTCTTGTTTCCAATATACTCGTATAATCACCAGCTTTTTTTATATTCTTCTCAACACCTGTTGATCTCTTAATCTAATTGCATTCAGTGAGAATCCTGGCAGAACTGGACCGATTTTCTTAGACCGATTGTTTCAGTTGGGAATTAGCCCTATATGTATTTGTGTTACAACTTGATATTTACATTAGGTCCCCCATGGGAAGCCAGGCAAACACAAAAAGCTCAGCCCAAAGAAGCTGAATTTTGCCAATCAGCCAAAGATCAGCAGTGTGATGAATCAACCAGCTAAGGGTGTAGTAATGGAACAAACCAGAAATCAGGTATTGCTTTTTGTATTATTTTAATGTTTTACATTTATTTATTTTATTGCAAATGATGGCAATACAATAAATTTTTACAATAAATTTTATTTCATGTCAGGTATAAATTGAAAGGAAATTTGGCAAGTTATTTCTTTTTAGGATAACTGTTACAGCAATAAGTTCTGTTTTCTATATTTTTCTTGTGAGTAATTGTGAGCATTTAAAAAAATATAAAAGTAATTTAAACTTTGAACATTGAATAACATTGCTTAATTTGTATTTTAACATGACAGAGGAACAACAGTAACAACACACCAGGTGGCGTGGGGTCAGTGCAAACAAAAGGGGTCACTGTGGAGCAAGACAAGCCTGCTGTTAATCTCTGTGGTGCAGTGACATGGTGTGAAGTTAAAACTCTACTGATGGAGTGGGTGCAATCAATGACAGGTTGGTTGTAGGCGATGTAATTTTACTTAAAATTAAAATGAACTATTTTAGACTGTTTGTTAATAGAAAAAAGTTGAGTAGATAATCAAAAAAAATCTTATTCATGTGTGTCTGATACTGGTATCTCTACAGTACCCAGATTTTTAAGGAAATTCTAATATTTGTCACTTATTGAAAGAGGAAGGAATAAGTTAGTAATTCAGATATAAAATATGAATAGTTTGTATTCAGTGTTGCAGACTTTATCATCGTTATCATTAAGTTACAAGTATTTTATTTCGTACAGTTACTCATTATTCACTGGTTGGTATTTACAGCTCCAGTTGAAGAGGACTTGGACATAATTGTGCAATATGTTTCTGAACTTGTGGAGGACAAGAACTTGGAGATGGTGGACCTGACATTGAAGTTTCTAAGAAGGTAAATATTGCAGTCTCTCTCTCTCTCTCTCTCTCTCATATCATGTATTTTAACTTGATGCAGAGAACATATTGGTCATAAATTCCTGTACATAACAGCTACAAGTTAAATAGTCCCATGCGTTCACCACACTAACATCAATAGAAAATCATTTAATTTAGTTTTTACCAGTATATTTTACAGAACCTGTTACCAAAGGGATCCTTTCAATGTAGCACATTTGTACACAATTATAGTATTTGTATATAGCTGGTGATAACACTTATTGAACAAAACATGACATTATTCTAATTTCAGACAAGTCCAGAAAACTGCATCTAAGGAGTGGAGTAGCGGTTTCCAAAATGTGCTCCGTATGGCTCAGCTGGTGGTCCAGGCTTTCTACGGTAGCTCCCTCAAGTGGGAACATTTATAATAATAGCTGGCCACCAGCTCTAAAACATATAGACATGAAGTTCACATAGCATCATATGTATTTGTTGATAAACTTATCTCCTTTGCTCCTCCTGGAGCATGAGGTGAGGCAGATAATATTCTGCCTGGAATAAAACAATAGAGGCCAGCACTGCATACCTATCTTTCAACTATAGGTGGCAGCACATTTAATCAATTCAGTTTTCTTATCCAAAGATATTTAATAAAAATAAAAGTATGAGCAGCATTGAATTTGTACTGCCTTTTGAACAGCATTACTGTTTACAATGGGAATATTCCACATTCTGTTTAAGTTTCCATGGAATAAAAGATGGAATTTAAATTTTATTTACAACTCTAGTCATTCAAAATTCATTTTTTCGGCCAAAACGAACAGTTATTATCCCTTTAAATTTCTAATTTACCATAATTAAGTCTATGCACTATTCATTCCCAACCATTGTTGTTTATCCTTCACTTACAGGACAGAACTTGTGGATTTAGGGTATTAGAATAGAGTGTAGCAATATTTTGCCCCCCCCCCCCCCCCCCCCGCCCCCAGATCCACTCCTCAACTAGTGTCACTGGGGTGCACAGGCGTGAAGTAGTCTTTGTTTTATAAAGGCCTACTCAAGGGTCTTGGCACAGTATAGAACTATGATTTAGCTAGTCAAAATTCTAATTTCAAGAGGGGATGATTGGTATGATATATTTTTCAGAAACCAAAGCGGGGGTCAGGACCCCCCCGATCCCCTCTCTAAATCCACCACTGATGTGATCTCATTTTCCTTTCCTTGTGAATCCACTGACAGTACTGTGAACGTGTACACATGATGAAAACACTCATGCCATAGACGACAGCAGTGTTCAGCTTATCTTGTTGACAGAGACCTGAGGCACATGGTGACAAACATCACGTAGGCCAGTCACATGTACATATATGTTGACTCTGTGGAAAATCATAAATGAAGCGAATAGATCATTAGCTAGACTCTTATCGCATGCAATCACATTAACAGGTTAGGACAACTCGAAAATTTCCTGGATTCTAAAATTTCATACTGAATTTTAATGACAACCAAGCCTTGAGACTTGCATATCTGGGAAATCATAAAATTTTAAGTCTGAAACTGTTAGTATATTATTTTTCAGAAAGAGAGAGAGAGATAGTGAGAATAAAATGGGTATAAATGTTAGATCAACTTGCTCAAGATATGTGTGTGTGTGGATATATACATACACAAATACACACAAATACACCAATGAAGTATTAAATTATATATATGTATATATGTATTATATTATTTTATTTAACAAATATTTTCTCCCCCTGTAAAAAAAAACATTTTTCATCATATCTTCAGTTGCATTTATTTGCTAATATTCTTACAAAATTTGAATAATAATACCCAAAATTTTTTTCAAATGTGCATAAATTCAATAAAACACTAATTATATCATTAATTTCCAAAAAGAAAATTGCCAGTAAAATGCAAAAACAAACTACCCTGGCCTTAAAAGACAGCTAACTGGTGCATAGATAATATATAACTCTGCTCTACAAAGAACAGTTTGTTCCACACCCCCAAGATGGCTACAGCTCGTGTAAGCAGAGATGACGAAGAAAGCCAACGAACCAAAATAACTGAACATTTTATCAGCTGTCCATTATGCCTTGTGGAGTACAAAGAACCAACAGATTTACCGTGCAGGCATACATTTTGTAAAGGTTGTCTGAAGGCTTATATACCTGACTTAACTCTAGGAAGTAAATTCAAATGTCCCGTGTGTCAGAAAGAAACTAAAGTACCTAAAGATGGACTTGAGGGCTTCACTCGCAATTTCTTCATTGAAAGCTTGCAGGACACTGTACTTCAGCCAATAAATAACAAAAAGTGTGGCTTTTGTGCCTTAACTTCACAAACTGAAACTGTTGCAACATCGAAATGTATCACCTGCCACGACTACCTATGTGAGAGGTGTTCCATATTACACTGTGGTACCAAGTTAACAAAAGATCATAAAGTGCTCACTTTCCAACAACTACAGAGCAAAGAGTACCAAAAAGAGATCCAAGAGCAGCAAAAAGTTTTCTGCCCTGAGCACAAAGATGAGATGATTAGATACTTCTGTTCAGATTGTGAAGTCCCCATTTGTCGTGACTGCAGAGATCTACACCATGATGGTCACAAAGTCATCTCCCCTGAAAAAGCTGCAGACAAGGTATAGCCACAAATGCAGACAAAATTTCGTGGGATTGAGAGAAAATTATCTAAAGGTGAGAAAACATTACTTAAAATTGATGCAACATTGGCAAAACTCCAAGAAAATGAACGCTCTGTCCAGCAGCAGATAAAAGATCGCGCAGCTCACCTACGCCACCTGGTAGATCAAAAAGAGAAGACCTTACTACAGGAGCTTTGCCAAGAAACCAGCACTCACAAGAAAAAATTACAAACTTTCCGCAATAACTGCAGTGCCACATGCTCCTCCATCAAAACCGCAACAGATGTAGTAAAGAACATCCTTAAGCATGGTGCCCCCATAGATGTCCTCATGTTACAACACCAACATGGAAAGAAACTAGATGAACTACGGTTCACTTCAGCTGTGGAGAAAATTCCCGAAGAAGTAAATCTCACATTTTCCACCAACACAGAAGTGGACCAAGAGATATCCAGTGGGGATGGCCTCGGGAATGTACAGATATCTAGACAACCAGCTTTGCCCAAGTTTAAACCACAGGCTGAATGTATGCTGGAGTTTGACACTGGCTGTTGGAGACCAGTCGACATTGCATTGAGTCCAAATGGGAATTATGTTACTACACATGACGTCAAAAATAAGGTAAAGGTTTTTCGTTCAGATGGTACATTTAGCAAGGAGATCACAAATGTTTCAGACACAAAAATGAAATGGCCAGTAGGGATTTGTCACTTCCCTGATGGAAGGATGGTTCTAGCCTGTAGAGACAATAACAAACTGTTCATCTTGTCACCACAGTGCGATGTACAGCAAACTGTAGATGTCAACAACCCATGGGGTGTGGCTCTCAATGACAACTGCACTAAGATTGCTGTGGCACAGGGTGAGAAAAAAAGGTCTGTGAGTGTGTTCAGTATTGATACCAAAGGGCAAATAACTTTAACTGATGTGATAAAAGACAAAGATGGGAAACAGTTGTTCAATTCACCATATAAAGTGGCATATATGAGTAACGAGTCCCTTGTTGTCAGTGATACATCAAACCAACTTCACATCCTAACCCCATCTGGTGACCCACTGTATCAGTACACAGGACCTGAAAACAAGTTAGGTCAACATCGTGGTGTCTGTGTTGATGCATATGACAACATACTGGTTTCTGATTATGATAACAACTGTATACACCTTGTATCCCAAGATGGGAAGTTCATCCAGTACATAGCAACCAAAGCTGATGGACTATATAAACCATGGGGATGTGCAATCAACCAAGATGGAGATCTGGTTGTGACTGAACTTGATGGGAAAGTGAAAGTATTTCAATACTTGGAAATGTGACGTGCTTTAAAATGCTCAGAAACTGAACATTATGAAGTTTTTTTGTCTATTTCACAAAAATGGTATTATATTATGAATAAATTAAAATTTTGTATTGCACAAATGACATGAAAAGGATCTTTTCCATATAATGAAATGCTGATAATATGCGCATGTAAAGAAATGTAAGATATGACTGTGTGAGATATTTCTTGAAGATGTTCATTTACAGGCTATTTAGTGCATGTGATGACAGGAATCAGACAATTGCCTGCAGCACCAGTAACAACTGATGTTTGTTTTTATACCATAATTGAATAATATGCTTATCTTCAGCACCAATAAGCACTGCAGACCTCTCTGTCAACCATAGATGGCAGCACATTCAATACATCCAGATTGTATGACAAAGATAATAAAGATGAAACTATGAGAATTATTTTTTCACATTTGGAAAGAAATTGTCCCAAAATTGAGTCTAATTAAGGTTTCATCTGAGACAGTGTATTAAATATGCATTTAAAGACTATTTCTTCCAGTTTTCCATGTTACATTTTTAATACCTGATGGAAAATTTATTGGGAATTATTAAGCAAATGATACAAAAATTATGTTTGGAAACTTGATACTGTTTATTTGTAAATAGCATATACTAACATATAGATATACATGCTCTATACCAAAGCAGACAGAAAGATAAGAGTAAAAAATCTATTTTTATGACTCCTTAAACAATGAAAAATATAACACAACCTTTTGCATCATTGAGAACTTTTAGGAAAAATAATTATTCAATGAAAAATAGAAATATTGTGTCAATATATAGGCCCTTTTTGTACAAATATTCAATAAACATTATTCAAATTTAATCAATCAAATGATATATTTGAAACCAGGCGAGTGAAAGGACAGCAGCACAAAAAATGTGATAAACATCGTAAATAAAACTGATACTTTGTAACTAACATGTTTGGAAGCACTGTAACAAACAGAACATTAAACCCATTTGTTGATCATAACTCCACCTATCTTTTACTCCTGGAAGTAGAGATCTCCCCCCTTTCCTTCCCCCCCCCCCCCCCCCCCCCCTTGACCTGTTCCTGGCATCTCCGTCAATTAATCCACCTCTCTCCTGCCAGTCCACACCGCCTCAGCCCACGTTTTCTGTCACCTTTCTCGTTTATTTGATTGATATCATAGCTTCGTTTCTGGACATTTCATGAAAGTTTCAATAATATGATAGCAATTTATGCACAGCACTACCTAAAGACATGCTTTAATTAATTTAAAAAATAAAAATTAATTATCTTATTACCATTTTCAAAGCTACTATTATATAATAGAGATATTTTTAATCAGTCATGCCACAGTTAAATTAAACAAAATATAGTAAGACTTATCATAAATAACATTGCATGCAAGCTTGTGTATAAAGCAAAATGTTTCAAAATGTCTTGTACATTTCATGAAAAAAAAGTAAAATTGAAGTCATATATAAGAAATTGAAAAACATAATTCTCAAACAAATGATGCAGCAAAATGTTAATATTCTTGAAAAAAATCAGCTAACATCAATAATTCAATTCAGACCTTGACCATGTTTTTTTTTCCAGAGAATGTTTGCTATTATTGTGTAACAGTTTCATAGAACAATGCAGCTAGAAAATGCATTTTCTCATTTCCCAATTCTCCTCAATTCCAATATTTCTCATTTCCAACTGTAAAAATTACTTCATAATAAATTTTGCACCAAAGAAATGAGCAATGACTTTTATATACCTTTCACATGGTTTTACCACCTCAAATTTCATGCCCTCAATCAACATATGTAAAATGAGCTATAAAAACAAAATTTCTTGGGTGATTTGTAGAAAAAGAATCATAAATTTTTAGTTCCATACCTTTGCAAGCATGCATACACTGCCTCCCCTCTCTTCTACTCACTTGGAATAAATATGAAATGTCTGATATACATTATTATAAAATTTCTACAGCTAGTTAATATATATAAAATACATAGTATTACATAGAATTCTATTGCACTTTCTTAATGCATATACAGTGATATTTGATATCTATGCTAGCATACAGATATACATAAATGCATTATACACTATAGCTACACAGTATAAAAACTGTGGGAAAGATCCACACCATTTACATGTATCAGTACATTACTATTGGTTGTATCATTTTGCTAAATTTGTGCATTATTTTCGTTTTCTTCCATATACCATATGTGCACCTGACATATATGTACATATAATATTGCATAGCTATATATACATGGCTACATACACTTTCAGTAGGGGGTGGGGGTAGTGAAACTTCCTAACATAAAAAGTAAATTTGATGTCTTTAAAAAAATTGTTTCCTTAAACAGCTAATTTTGCATCACAACCACTTAAAAAATCCACTCATCTTGGTGACTTGTGAAAAGTGCTGTAAATGTGTAAAGAAAACCTGAAAACATTTTGATCTTAGAGATAGACATTGTTAGTTTCCAGTTTGTAAGGGAACAGTTTTTCCTTTGAAAAGTTGATGTTTTTAGTGGTAAATCATTTAAGAGTAAGGTTCAAGTACAAATATAATTTCTGATATGACCAAGTTTGAAGGATATACTGAACATATGACAAAGTTCTTGTTTATAAAAGGTTTAATTTAATCTCCTATTTACTGGAACAGGTATACGGGTGGCCCTGAAAAGGGCACATTGCACAATAACAATGTGAAAACCATTTTACTTCAAAATTTTTGGTTTTTGAAGTTGAATTTTTTTATTTATATAGACCAAAAGCAGATCTTTTGTGAAAATAAATGGGACAGTGCTTTTATAGGGAAATAAAAATTTTATCAAAGACGGCTAACTTTTGTCTCCTGTTCCAGTAAAAACTGCTCTGGAATTGGGGGTCCTGAAGAGGGCGACTTGTGCGACCTGGCTACTGCTATGTGAATACACTGGACCCACTGTTCAGCACACTTGCGTTCTTTTGGTTTTAGAATAAATTTCTGATCATTGGCAAAAATCTCAAAAGCTCGTGGAATGTCTCTCGAGCCCTTCTTGATGGCTTTCACACTCTGGATCTTGTTGATTGGAAGATACGTTTCTTGGGTCTGGAATAAAACAAATACTTAGTACATGGTGAAAGCCACAAGAAACCTGAGTGTTGATGGTTTTTATAACAAAATGTTAAGCAAATATTGATTCTGTTATATATCCATCATATCCTTTTTAAATTAAAGAAATACACCAGTAAGGAAAATGTCATATAATAAATCATCTTTTAAATTTACCAGGGTAAAATTTATAGTTGTTTCAATCAACAGAAATATCATCAAAATTCTTTTAAAAATAAATATTTGTAATTTTCAGTCATCTTCATGAATGGGCTATTAGGCTGCCCCCCCCCCCCCCCCCTTTCCTCTGCCTCAGTCCTCCCGAAGAAGTTCCAGCCACACACCATGGAGATTTCTTGAATCAAAACCACTGACTCCTTCTTTTATTTTAATATGGTCTTTTAGATCTTTTTTTTGTAAAAAGTAAATCATGTTAGCAAAAAAGAAATCCTTACCACCCCTCCTTTACTAACAGAATATGTCATTGTTGAACCAGATAAAGTAAAATATCTCGTTTTCCAGCGTTTGAAGAATTTCCAGCGACCTTTCTTCTCTTTCAGATGACCCTGAAAGAGAACAAGCAAAAATTTTCCTAGATGCATATAGATATACATTTCTTAATAGGATTTTAAAGTACATTTTAACCAGCAGAACACTGAATATCACCCACTATCTCTTAATTGTAACCTGTGAATATGCTAAATATAAACTTTATCTAAATGATGTTATTATGGTAATTTATTATAATGGTGCTAAAATAAATGTCAAAGGCCTGGATCAAATCTAGTCCCATGCATAAAAAGCCCAGACCCATGTTTATTACGCCCTGGCTGGGCCCATTCTTTATGGTGTCTTTGCATTGTTAACAGCATAATGGACAAGTTAAGTGACCAAGTTAATTGAGTAAGTTAATTGGCCAAGCTGCCAGTTTGTTTGCATGGCATGTGCAGGGGATGTCTTAGATCAAGGCACAAATGAAGCCCATCTTTAATTTAACAAATCTTTAGTAAATGTTACTAAATCAATCTACATGTCTTTTCTTTAAACATTAAACATCTTTAAAAGTATCATCCTTCGATGTATTTTACAAATCACAGGTAATGTAATACAAGTAAATCTCATTTGCCACACCTGTAAGTATCATAATATGTACCTTGATCTACAACAACCCCTGCACATGCCATACAAACAAACCGGCAGCTTGGCCAATTAACTTGGTCATTTAACTTGCCCATTATGCTGTTAACAATGCAAAGACACCATAAAGAATGGGCCCAGCCAGGGTGTAATAAACATGGGGTCTGGGCTTTTTATGCATAGGACTAGATTTGATCCGGGCCTTTGACATATATGAGGGATACATCCCATAAGAAATAGTTACATTTTCACAATGAATTAAAAAAGAGCTCATCATGGCAGTTCTAAGTTTCACAATAGTTGCGTAGGAAATACCCCAAGCAATACAAACTTTCATCAGAAACACCGATTTAAAATCCACTCCCAGTAAAAGTGAAATGATTTCCAGCTTAATTCATTCACATACAGCTATAATTGGGTGTCCATCTTGTAACAAGCCTGTTGCCTTCTCTGGATGGTTGCACAGGAAACATGCCCAGCAACGCTGACTGCCATTAAACTCAAACACATCAAAGAATCTGACACTGTCCAGTTCCTGCCTCAGACTGTCCTGATCCTGAAAGAAAACTGGACTTTATACATAAAAAATGACAGTGGAGGGACCAGGGGTGGGGCATAGTGGGCCATGTAACACCCCTCCCCTTTCCCCAAATTACAGAATAACAAGTAAAGCAAGACAAATGCAAGAAATTATCCATCTCTGGTCTTGACATATTACAGTAATAATTGTCCTCTTCTAGTATATATTTTATTGCAATGCCAAACTTTTAATTCATAAAATAATAGAAATTCTTGATTCCTTGGTCGTTGAAGTTGAAAAAGGTGTATAATTTGTGTAAAATTATCTATTTAGAAAATTACATTTGTCAATGGAAACAATTATCTAACAGTGATTGAAGTACAAAAATACTCTTTAATTTAAAGCTCAAAAAAATTGCGAAAGATTATGAAAAAAAAAAAGAAATCATCATTACATTTTCAATAAAATACAAAAAAAAAAAAAAAAAGGATCAACAGAACACCTTAATCAATCAAACAATCAGTCAGTTATCAAACCTTTGTTGTTGGAAATGAAGAGGTGACCACTGTGACAAAGCTCCTCCCACTGTCTGCTGTATGCATCATAGTCTCCCAGATTTCCCGCAGCTCTGCTACAGAAGGGTCACGAGGACTTAAAGCTGATGGAGCTTTGGCCTACAACAAGATTTTATATTAAATTCACTGTCATGAGGGGGTAGAGGGTGGAGTTGGAGGTGGGATATTTCTGATTTTGATACAAATACTTTTTTTAATATATGCACACATTATTAATATAAAACAGAATACAAAAATGCTATAAATATCTAGGTCTGGACTACAAAAATATTTCACTGAACATTAACAGTGAGACCAAACACTTTTTATCTCAAAAAATGACTAAGCAGAATTAAAAATCGTGGAATTCTGTGATTCCACATAAAAAAGCTTAATGTGTCTGTTAATGTTTGTTGATCTAGTGAGGTATTAAGTCAAGCACCTGTCTGTCCAAGAACATGAGATGTATCCAGGTCTTTGCCTGCTTGGTTTTGATGTTGAAGGAATGCTGACAATACAAGCACTGATCTCCTTTCTTCTCACATAGGAAATGAACTTTAGGACGCTTCTTGTGTCTGTGCCCTGAAAAGGTAGTTATATAGATTCAAAGTTAAACTAAGTGAAATGGTTCATAAGCTATGTATTTTATTCGACAAAAAGTTGACTAATACACAATAATATGTACATGTATGTTATTCATCTAGTTGTATTTTCCAATAAAAGAAAATAAAATCAACTTCTTGACTTGCGTTAATTTTTGTCCAGTTGGCAATATTACATCTCCATCTCAGAGGCTTCATTTGGTCTACTGAGAATACATACTGTATTCTCAGAACACCAGCTGAATTTTTTAAAATATAGTGAACAAAAATAATTAAACAAATAAATAAATGATTCAGAAACAAGAAAACAAAAAAATAAAAAAAAATAATAATAAAGAAATGTATTATCATTTTCAAAGGGAAAAGAGGGAAATATAAGACAAGGGCAATTCAGTATACCATCTCTATTAAAAACCACCGATCAACTGCAAGTTCACTGCAAGTTACCTTCCAGTGTTATTTTACTGGGCAGTGGTATCCTCAGCGCCACCCTCTCCATGTATACCTTGATCTTATCAAAGTGCTTCTCACAGAAATGTTGAGTCGCATCCTTCTGTGGATAGTACTGCAAGAATATGTAGACAAGTATCTCTTTTAATTGTTTACAAGCTGTCGATCTCTGTTTACAAAATTGAGATGAATGTGTTGTTGGTGTATATCTAACCATGTAATACTAGAAGAACAGCTGATGTTATATTAATATAATACTTGTATAGAGGTAGANTTGTTGCTCATAGCAGTGATACCACTGATACCAGACACTGTTCTCTCAGAGTAAGTGCTACTGACTGTGGCCGCGCTGTGAGGGCGGTCGTGTTTGGGACGAGCATCTTGATATCTGAATCAACAGTACACTCCATATTAAGACTGTATTTTTCATACTTCATAATATATATCACAATGTAACTTTTTTCAATTTTTTTATGGTGTTAACCAAGTTCATTTGTCCCAACAAGCGCTTATAAATAAATAATTGTTTCACTTTAATGCATCAGCTCTTAAATGTCTGACCCCCCCCCCCCAACGTCAAAATCCCACACTCTTTTGTCATTCACTGCATTTTAGACAGCTTACACTCAATAGCTTGTTTACTTTAATATGCATTTAATATATTATGATCAAAAGTGACTTAAAGTATGATTTACAATGTATGCACAATAATTGTGTTAACTAGTATATCACTATAAAAGCCTTTACTTTGAGAAAGAGTGAGCATTTCCTGGTCTTCCATTGGTAACTTGTGCTGTGGCAGAGGAGGTCAGGGGTGGAGGGTTCCCCACAGTAATAACTGTCACGCCCCCCTCTGTCTGACTGTATGAGGACTTGAACTCTTTTTCAGTGTGAACTCTGAAAGGTAGGACAACATTTAAAAGACTTCAACTCTTTCTCGTTGTTTGTGTGTGAGAGAGAGAGAGAGAGAGAGAGAGAGATTACACTATGTTTATGAAAATGTCAATTCTCTTGCTCATGATGATATGGACACACACATGCACACACACACACACACACACATGCACACACACACACACACACACACATGCACACACACACACACACATGCACACACACACACACACACACACACATGCACACACACACACACACACACATGCACACATACTACAAACTCCACTCACCCTTTTGTATGAATATCCTTAATCTGTTGCACAAGCGCCCGTACTCCGTTTGATGCATGCTCCGAGTATTGGTGCAGCGTTTTGATATGTTTGCCCACAACGTTCCTGTATTTCTCAGTGATATTTTTGATTGCACGCAGTATTACCAGCAGGGTCTGTCGCTCAGCATCAGGAGTTAGAGACATCAGGTACTCCATACAAGCTATGGCCTGGATCTGAAATATAGTACAATGAACTACCAACACTATGTATCAGGAGTTTTAAACATCAGGTACTCCATACAAGCTATAGCCTGGATCTGAAATATAGTACTGTAACAATGATCGAATTACCAACACTCTGTATCAGGAGTTAGAGACATCAGGTACTCCATACATGCAAAGGCCTGGATCTGAAATATAGGACAATGAATTAGTGTCAGTATATATATATATATATGATGACAGTGTTTTCAATAACACTAAGATTGCTGTGGCACAGGGTAGGAAAAGAAAGTCTGTAAGTGTATTCAGTATCGATATCAAAGGGAAAATAACTTTAAGTCATGTAATAAAAGACAAAGGTTGGAAAGAATTGTTCATTTATAAGGTGGCATATATGAGCAATGGGTGCCTTGTTGTTAGTGATATAAAACAAAACAAACTTCACATCTTAACCCCATCTGGTGACCCACTGTATCACAGTCAGTACACATGACCTGATAACAAGTTAGGTCGACCAGGTGGTGTCTTTGTTGATGCATATGACAACATACTGGTTACTGACTGTGATAACCACTGCGTACACCTTGTATCCCCAGATGGGAAGTTTATCCAGTACATAGCAACCAAAGCTGATGGACTATATCAACCATGGGGATGTGCCATCAACCAGGAAGATGGGAAAGTGAAAGTATTTCAATACTTGGAAATATGATGTGCTTAAAAATGCTGATAAACAGAACAATTTGCAGTTTCCTGTCATATTTCAAACAATTTAGTATATATGGACACAAATTCAAGAATGACAAATTTGACTGTGATTAAATATTTACATTTCCATCATCAAACCAAACTTATACAGGCTTTAAAGACTGAAATGACATTGTAGTAATTGTACTTAAAATATAAAGGTAACACCTTTAACTGCAACCTTTTCTGATATGAAATTGATTTTTGATGCTGTAAATACGATGCTGAAAGGATTTTTTTTTGACTGAGAATAATTTATCTTGGTTTGGACTTAACAAATGATGTTACACTGTAGTTATTAGTAAATAAAACTTTAAATGATACAATGTTTTGAGTAATCATATCGTGCTATAAAATAAAAAAAAAATCCAAATCTTATAGTGAATTAAGTATCTGCATCATATATGAACTACCATAGGTGCAAAATAAGAAAAAAATTGCCCCATGAGAGAAGTAATCTTAGAGTGCAAATCTCCCTCTCTCTCTCTCTCAGGGATATACATGTACACCTAGGAATGCTAAGATAAAACTTCAGAGGGGGTCTTAAAACATTATATTGTAGTTACTGCATTATATATTCTCCTTCATTTCTTCTTTGTCTTTCATTCTGATTTTTTTTTTTTTTGGATGAAATTTGGTTGACAAGATCTACTTTTAAAACTCTTCTATCAAGATATGTAAACCATATACCTCTAAAATATCTGTAGATTTACCAGTACTTACACAATATATCACTGAACACAGCTGACTTCTCTTACTACACACCCACCCCCTGACTGTCTCCCTACATAAGACAAATATACCATATACCTCCACACTATCTGTAGATTTACACAATATATCACTGAACACAGCTGACTTCTCTTACTACACACCTACCCCCTGACTGTCTCCATACATAAGACAAATACACCATATACCTCCACACTATCTGTAGATTTACCAGTGCTTGCACAATATATATCACTGAACATAGTGGACTTCTTTTACTACCCCTCCCACCCCATCTCCCAGCATATTACTATTAACAACAATATCTGTAGCTTAACTAGCATTTCATACCATAGCTCTTTCACTCACATGACAGAAAATTGTCAACATATTTTCACAATAAATACAAATTCCCATTAGGCCCAGTATTAGTTATAATCTAAAACCAATAGCATGAATACTGTCAACATCAGCAAAAAAGGCTGACCCAAATCCTATACAGCTAGCTTATAGAAAATCTAGGTCAAATCAGGTGAACTAAGAGACATCTGCGCATGACAACAACTTTGGAACAAATATTGAACAACGCCCTGGAAACAATCAAAGAGAAAAATGGCAACTGTAGACTCCAAAGATGTAACTGAGAGTCCACAAGCAGAAAGTTTAAGAACTGTGATAGTTAACTACTTTGTGAGCTGTTCTTTGTGCCTTGAGGAGTATAAAGACCCAACTGATTTATCATGTAGGCACACATTTTGTAAGGGTTGTCTGAAGACTTATATTCCTGACCTAACACCAGGAAGTAAATTCAGATGTCCCATGTGTCAGAAAGAAACTGAAGTTCCTAAAGATGGACTTGAGGGCTTCACTCATAATTTCTACATTGAAAGTTTGCAGGACACTATACTCCAGCCAACATATAACATAAAGTGTGGCTTTTGTGCCTTAACTTCACAAACTGAAACTGTGGCAACATCAAAATGTATCAACTGCCATGACTACCTATGTGAGAGGTGTTCCGTATTACACTGTGGTACCAAATTGACAAAGGACCATAAAGTGCTCACTTTCCAACAGCTACAGAGCAAAGAATACCAAAAAGAGATCCAAGAGCACCAAAAGATTTTCTGCCCAGAGCACAAAAATGAGATGATAAGATACTTTTGTTCAGACTGCAATGTCCCCATCTGTCGTGACTGCAAAGATCTACACCATGACGGTCACAAACTTCTCTCTCTTGAAAAAGCTGCAGAGATGGTTAAGCCACAAATGCAGACAAAATTTTATGTGATTGAGAGAAAATTAGCTAAAGGTGAGCAAACATTGATTGAAATTGATAAAACATTGGCAAAACTCAAAGAAAATGAAAGCTCTGTTCAGCAGCAGATAAAAGCTCGAGCAGCTCACCTACGTCAAATTGTAGACCAACGAGAGAAGACCTTACTACAGGAGCTTCATAAAACCACCAGCACTCACAGAAATAATTTACAAGCTTCCCGCATGAACTGCAGTGCCACTTGCTCCTCTATCAAAACCACAACAGATGTAGTAAAGAACATCCTTCAGCATGGTGCCCCCATAGATGTCCTCATGTTACAACACCAACTTGGACAGAGACTAGATGAACTACAGTCCACTTCAGCTGTGGAAGAAATTCCTGAGGAATTAATCCTTACACTAACCACCAGCACAGAAGTGGACCAAAAGATATCCAGTAGGGCTGGCCTGGGAAATGTGAAGATATCTAGACAACCAGCTTTGCCCAAGTTCAAACCACTGGCTGAATGTATTATGAACTTTGACACTGGACTCAACAGAAGACCTCTTTATGGTTTTCACTATGTCATACCAAAAGACATATCAGTGAGTCCAAAAAGGGAGTATGTTACTACACATGACACCCAGGTCAAGGTTAATAGTTCAGCTGGTACATTAAGAAAAGAGATCACAAGTGTCTCAGACACAAAGCTGAAATGTCCAAGAGGGATCTGTCACTTCCCTGATGGAAGGATGGTTATATCTGATGCAGGCAATAACAAACTGTTCATCCTGTCACCACAGTGGGAAGTACAGCAAACTGTAGATGTCAACAACCCACTTGGTGTGGCTCTCAATGACAACTGCACTAAGATTGCTGTGGCACAGGGTTACAAAGAAAAGTCTGTGAGTGTGTTCAGTATTGATATCAAAGGGAAAATAACTTTAACTGATGTGATAAAGGAAAAAGATGGGGAACAGTTGTTCAATGCACCATATAAAGTGGCATATATGAGCAATGGGTGTCTTGTTGTTAGTGATGAATCACCAAACAAACTTCACATCCTTACCCCATCTGCTGACCCATTGCATCAGTACACAGGACCTGATAACAAGTTGGGTCAACCTTGTGGTGTCTGTGTTGATGCATATGACAACATACTGGCCACAGATTATAATAACAACTGCATACACCTCGTATCCCCACATGGGAAGTTCATCCAGTACATAGCAACTGAAGCTGATGGACTATATGAACCATGGGCATGTACCATCGACCAGGATGGAGATCTGGTTGTGACTGAATGGAAAGGGAAAGTGAAAATAATCAGATACTTGGAAATATGACATGGTTTAAAATGCTTAGAAACAGAACAATTTGCAGTTTCCTGTCATATTTCAAACAATTGAGTGTATATAGACACAAATTCAACAATGACAAATTTGACTGTGATTAAATATTTACATTTCCATCATCAAACCAAACTAATATAGGCTTTAAAGACTGAAATGACAGTGTAGTAACTGTACTTAAAATATGAAGGTGACGCCTTTTACTGCAACCATTTCTGATATGAAATTAATTTTTGATGCTGTAAATACCTGATGATGACAGGATTTTTTTTTGACTGAGAATAATTTATCTTGGTTTGGACTTAACAAATGATGTTACACTGTAGTTATTAGTAAATAAAACTTTAAATGATACAATGACTTGAGTAATCATATCAAATAACAAAAAATACCAAATCTTATAGTGAATAGTATCTGCATCATATATGAACTACCATAGGTGCAAAATTCAGTAGAAAAAAATTGCCCTATGAGAGAAGTAATCTTAGAGTGCAAATCTCCCTCTCTCTCTCTCTCAGGGATATACATGTACACCTAGGAATGCTCAGATAAAACTTCAGAGGGGGTCTTAAAACATTATATTGTAGTTACTGCATTATATATTCTCCTTCATTTCTTCTTTGTCTTTCATTCTGATTTTTTTTTTTTTTGGATGAAATTTGGTTGACAAGATCTACTTTTAAAACTCTTCTATCAAGATATGTAAACCATATACCTCTAAAATATCTGTAGATTTACCAGTACTTACACAATATATCACTGAACACAGCTGACTTCTCTTACTACACACCCACCCCCTGACTGTCTCCCTATACATAAGACAAATACACCATATACCTCCACACTATCTGTAGATTTACCAGTGCTTGCACAATATATATCACTGAACATAGTGGACTTCTTTTACTACCCCTCCCACCCCATCTCCCAGCATATTACTATTA